CCCCTGGATTCTTTTTTTTTTTTTTTAAATTTTTTTTAATATTTATTTATTTTTTTTAGTTTTTGGCAGACACAACATCTTTGTTTGTATGTGGTGCTGAGGATCGAACCCGGGCCGCACGCATGCCAGGCGACTGCGCTACCGCTTGAGCCACATCCCAGCCCCAAAAAAGCTAGTATTTTTTTAATAGAGTGTTTTTTTTTCATTTTTAAGATTTGTTCTAATTAGTTATACATGACAGTAGAATGCATTTTGTCATACATAAATGGAGTGTAACTTCTCATTCTTCTGATTGTATATGATGTAGAATCACACTGGTTGTGTAATCATATATGTACATAGGGTAATAATGTCTGAGTCATTCTACTATCTTTCTTACCTTGATACCCCCTCCCCTCCCTTCATTCCCCTCTACCTAATCCAAAGTTCCTCTGCCTGCCCCCTCCCACCGCGCATTGTGAGTTAGCAACCACATATCAGAGAAAACATTTGGTCTTTGGTTTTTTGGGATTGGCTTATTTCGCTTAGCATGATATTGTCCAGTTCCATCCATTTACCTGCAAATGCCATAATTTCATTTTTCTTTAAGCCTGAGTAGTATTCCATTGTGTATATATACCACATTTTCTTTATCCATTTATCTGTTGAAGGACATCTAGGTTGATTCCATACTTTGGCTATTGTGAATTGAGCTGCTATAAACATTGATGTGGCTGCATTACTATAGTATGCTGATTTTAAGTCCTTTGGGTATAAACTGAGGAGTGGGATAACTGGGTCAAATGGTGATTTCATTCCAAGTTTTCTTTTCTTTTTAAATTGCTTTTATTTTCTAAATACATGACAGTGAAATGCATCACAATTCTTATTACACATATAGAACACAATTTTTCATATCTTTGTTTGTATATAAAGTATGTTCACATCAATTCATGTCTTCATACATGTACTTTGAATAATGTTGTCCATCACATTCCACCATCCTTGCTAACTCCCTCCCCGCTCCCTTCCCCTCTCATCCCTCTGCCCTATCTAGAGTTCGTCTATTCCTCCCATGCTCCCTCTCCCTACCCCACTATGATTCAGTCACCTTATGTCAGAGAAAATATTTGCCATTTGTTTTTTTTGGGATTGGCTAACTTCACTTAGCATTATCTTCTCCAACTGCATCCATTTACCTGAAAATGCCATGATTTTACTCTCTTTTATTGCTGAGTAATATTCCATTGTGTATATATGCCATATTTTTTAATCCATTCATCTACTGAAGGGCATTTAGGTTGGTTCCACAGTTTAGCTATTGTGAATTGTGCTGCTATAAACTTTGATGTAGCTGTGTCCCTGTAGTATGTATGCTGTTTTTAAGTCCTTTGGGTATAGACTGAGAAGAGGGATAGCTAGGTCAAATGGTGGTTCCATTCCCAGATTTCCAAGGAAATCTCCATACTGCTTTCCATATTGGTTGCACCAATTTGCAGTCCCACCAGCAATGTATGAGTGTGCCTTTTCCCCCATATCCTCGCTAATACTTATTGTTGTTTGTCTTCATAATAGCTGCCATACTGACTGGAGGGAGATGGTATCGTAGAATAGTTTTGAGTTGCATTTCTCTAATTTCTAGAGATGATGAGCATTTTTTCATATATTTGTTGATTGATTGAATTTCCTCTTCTGAGAAGTGTCTGTTCATGTCCTTGGCCCATTTATTGATTGAGTTATTTGTTTTTTTGGTGCTTAGCTTTTTGAGTTCTTTATATACCCTAGTGATTAGTGCTCTATCTCATGTGTGAGGGGTAAAAACTTGCTTCCAAGATGTAGGCTCTCTATTCATCTCACAGATTGTTTCTTTTGCTGAGAAGAAACTTTTTAGTTTGAGCCTATCCTATTTATTGATTCTTGGTTTTAATTCTTGCGCTATAGGAGTCTTGTTAAGGAAGTTGGGGCATAATCCCATATAATGAAGATTAGGGCCTACTTTTTTTCTATTAGACGGAGAGTCTCTGATTTAATTCCTAGGTCCTTGATCCACTTTGAGTTGAATTTTGTGTATGGTCAGAGATAGGGGCTTAATTTCATTTTGTTGCATATGGATTTCCAGTTTTCCCAGCACCATTTGTTGAAGAGGCTATCTTTTCTCCAATGCATGTTTTTGGGGCCTTTGTCTAATATGACATGATTATAATTTTGTGGGTTAGACTCTGTGTCCTCTATTCTGTACACTGGCCAGAGCAATTAGACAGACGAAAGAAATTAAAGGGATATGTATGGGAAAAGAAGAACTTGAATTAGCACTGTTTGCTGACAATATGATTCTATACCTAAAGACCCAAAAAGCTCCACCAGAAAACTTCTAGAACTAGTAAATGAATTCAGCAAAGTAGCAGGTTATAAAATTAACACCCATAAATCAAAGGCACTTCTGTATATCAGTGACAAATCCTCTGAGAGGGAAATGAGGAAAACTACCCCATTTACAATAGCCTCAAAAAAAAAAAACAAAAAAAAACTTGGGAATCAATGAAAGAGGTGAAAGATCTATACAATGAAAACTACAGAGCCCTAAAGAAAGAAATCAAAGAAGACCTTAGAAGATGGAAAGATCTACCTTGCTCTTGGATAGGCAGAATTAATATTATCAAAATGACCATACTACCAAAAGCACTATCCAGATTTAATGCAATTCCGATCAAAATCCCAATGGCATTCCTCATAGAAATAGAAAAAGCAATCATGACATTCATCTGGAAAAATAAGAGACCCAGAATAACTAAAGCAATCCTTAGCAGGAAGAGTGAAGCAGGTGGCATCACTATACCAGACCTTAAACTATACTACAGATCAATAGTAACAAAAACAGCATGGTACTGGCAACAAAACAGACTCGTAGACCAATGATACAGAATAGAGGACACAGAGACTAATTATTCCAAGTTTTCTGAGGAATCTTCATACTGCTTTCCATAATGGTTGCACCAGTTTGTTTTCCCACCAGCAATGTATGGGTATACCTTTTCCCCCACATCCTCATTAACATTTATTGTAACTTGTATGCTTGATAATTGCCATTCTGATGGGAGTGAGATGAAATCTCAGTGTAGTTGTAATTTGCATTTTTCTTGTTGCAAGTGATGTTGAACATTTAAAAAAAATACTTTTTAGTTGTTGGGCCTTTATTTTATTTATTTATATGCGGTGATGAGAATTAAACCCAGTATCTCACACATGCTAGATAAGCGCTCTACCACTGAGCTACAACTTCAACCTGATGTTGAACATTTTTTCATAAGTATATTGACCGATTGTATTTCTTCTTCTGTGAAGTGTCTGTTCAGTTCCTTAGCCCATTTATTGATTAGATTATTATTATTATTTTTTTGGTGTTGAGTTTTTTGAGTTCTTTATATATCCTGGAGATTAATGCTCTATCTGAGGTGCATGTGGTAAAGATTTTCTTCCATTCTGTTGGCTGTTTCTTCATGTTATTGATTGTTTCTTTTGATGAGAAAAAGCTTTCTTTGATTTTACCCCTTTTGCATTAGGAATCTTGTTAAGGAAGTCATGGTGATGATTTGGGCCTACTTTTTCTTCTATTAGATACAGGGTCTCTATTCTAGTGCCTGTGAACCCAGGGCCTTGTGCATGGGCCTACCAAATGAGCTATATCCCCAGCCTGTGTTTAAGTCTTTGATCCACTTTGACTTGAATTTTGTGCAGGCTGAACTATAGGATTCAGTGTCAATCTGTTACATATGGATTTCCAGTTTTCCCAGCACCGTTTGTTGAAGAGGCTGTCTTCTCCAATGAATGTTTTTGGCAAGCTAGCATTTTTGATAGTACTACTTATTCAAGTTTATATGTTGATGTTTCATTTTCTGGAATATTCTGCTTGATTCTATCAGTCAGCTTTCCAGAGTGCTACAATGATCTTGTATAGTTATGGAGGAAAGGTAAATGCCATAATTTAAATCCTTTAATAAAAGCTAATAAATAATGCTCTAATAAATAAAAAATACTCTAATAGCATAAAAATATTTTGACTTTCCTTTATTTTACCCTTCAAATTCTGACTTGAATGGGCTATCCTCTTGTGTTTTGGTTATAAGGTTGTATCATTCAGAAGTATGTTAGGATTGATATTCTTATGTTCTCTGACAAATGTTTTGTTTTAGTGTTTACAGATGAAAGGGAAACTGATTTCTGAATCACAGATCAGAGAAGTGAGCTCCTTATTTTATGCTAATTTTGTTAGGATATAAATGATACATATCTCTGTAATTTGACTCTTTAAGGTAGATGATACTATCAAGATTGCAGAGGCTCTTTTGTCTGACCTGTCAGGATTTCGATCTTTCCATCGAAGTGCTGAAGATCTCTTAGACCAGTTTAAACTATATGAACAAGAACAATTTGATGATTGGTCCAGGGAAATTCAGTCAGGTTTGTCTGATTCCAGATCTGGTCTGTGGTAAGTATAAATATACTAAACTGTAAAATCTAAAACCATATATCATTGATTCAAACAGCAAGATGGAGTTAATCCATTAGCCTTTTCCCGTTCTTAATTTTGATGTTCTTTTAATTTCTTTTGTTAGAAGATTGGAAATTTTGATGATATAATTTAGTTTGACCACCTGCTTCCCATTTGCTTCTAATGTCTTTTCTCTAGAATTGCAAATTCCTGTTTGGGAATTAGCTTTCTCTCTCCTTTTTTCCCCATTGTTTCATATATACTTTTCTTCCCTTTTGGCACTAATATTGCACATGCACTGTGTGCATACACACACATTGTCTTTAAACTGTAAATAAAATTTTTATTATTATATTTTTTTGCGGTATTGGGGATTGAACACAGGGATATTTAACCAGTGAGCTACATCCCCAGCCCTTTTTTAAAAAAAAAATTATTTTTAAGTTTTGAGACACACTGTTGCTAAACTGATGAAGCTGCCTTGGACTTGCAATTCTTTTGTCTCAGTCTCCTAGGTTAACAGGGACCACAGGAACTTGCCCCATGCCTGACCATATCTTTTTTTAAAATATTTTTTCAGTTGTTGATGGACCTTTATTTTATTTATTCTTATGTGGTGCTGAAAATTGAACCCAGTGCCACACACATGCTAGGCAGTTTTCTACCATTGAGCCACAACCCCAGCCCTGGATCACATCTTTTTTAAAGTAACTCTGTGCTGGGAATGTAGCTCAGTTGTGGAGCACTTGTATAACATGCATGAGGGTTCAATTCCTAGTAGTCCAAAAAAGTTAAAAATAAAAATGAAATAAAAAATAAAAGTAACTTTATCCACAATATAAAATTTTGTTTATTTCATCTATACCGATACAGAGGATAATTAGTGGTGCTTCTTAAATTGAATTAATTTTTTTCTTTTCTAAAAATTCTGACTCTACAGGAATATTGTAGGAACCAAAGGGTTCTAGGGCATAATGGTTATAACTTGGTGGTAATTTAACTTTTTCCCTTCATAATTTGAGCCTAAAACATGAGAATTTCTTTAATCCTCCCCTCTCCCTGCAAAGTGTTTCAGTCAACTAATTTGGGAATATTTGCATAGTTTTATTACTGTAGTTCTAGTGGTGATCCATTCTGTATGGTAACCTACCAAGGATCTGAGATCTGCTGTAGAAAAGCTTGTTCAACTTTTTTCAAACTATTTTTTTTTCCTGTTTTTATTTATTTTTTTATTGGTTGTTCAAAACATTATAAAGCTCTTGACATATCATATTTCATACATTAGATTCAAGTTGGTTATGAACTCCCAATTTTACCCCAAATACAGATTGCAGAATCACATCGGTTACACATCCACATTTTAACATAATGCCCTATTAGTAACTGTTGTATTCTGCTACCTTTCCTATCCTCTACCATCCCCCCTCCCTCCCCTCCCATCTTCTCTCTCTACCCCCTCCACTGTAATTCATATCTCTCCTTGTTCAAACTATTTTTTATTTGGTAATGAAACTCCTCTTCTCCTGCCTTTATTTTGGTGTTAAATCTGTATTGTCCCATGGAATCATCTGCATGTTGTTGAACACATTTTTGAAATGCTGATTTGTACAAACTAATTTTGAAGATCAGTCCTGAATACAGACAGAAAGAATCACTATTATAGTTTTCTGATAGGCTTTCTGTGTGTAAAGCAAAATTTGGTTTAACTCATCATTTTAAAAATAAGTATCTACTTTGTATTATACTTTGTTGCGTCTGCTGTTAATTAGGGGGAATAGATTTCTTCTTTGCTTTTCAAAAGTATGTTACTTTTTTAAGACTTGCAAGTTTTCTTAATTATTTGTGAAATAATATGCATTATATAAATCTACTTCTAAAAGAAAGATGATGAAAACATAATACCTTATGTTTAATTTAACTCATCATTTTCACAATTCCATGATGACTTGAGTACTCACAAGTAATATTTGCCACAGACAAAAGATAATCCTTAGTGAAATAACGGGTAGAAGAATGAAACATTTAAATGTCTGTACTCTTACTATTTAGATTTATTTTATCATTGATCCTTTAATAAAAGTATTAAAGAAGAAAGTAGACCATTAAAAAAAAATACAAGTTACCCTTAGAGAATAAATAAAAACCTTTCTTTAATTGTAGATATGTCATTTTTGAGTCTTAGTTGACTGTTAAGGGATTGATTTTTCTGACTTTAAACTTTAATATTTGAAATATTAAAGTGATGATATATTTTGGATTTTATACTTTATTTCCAAAATCTGGATTGATAGTGTGTGAAAAACAAACATACAAGCTGTAATTAAAAAGTTTTTTTTTTTTAACTTTACTACTAGACTTACAGAGAAGTAAAAACTATTGTGTATTTCATTAGTCAAGAGTGAGAACATGAAACTTAAAAGATTATTCCTTTTTTTTGTAGTATTGAGGCTAATAGTCGAATTATGGAATTGGATCCTAGCGATGGATCATTGAAAGTGCATTATTCCGATCGTTTGGTGATTCTTCTGAGAGAAGTTCGTCAGCTTTCTGCCCTTGGCTTTGTTATTCCTGCCAAAATACAGCAAGTTGCGAACATTGCACAGAAATTCTGCAAGCAAGCAATTATTCTTAAACAAGTATGAAATTATATTTTTGAAAGCATGGCTATTCTCTGAGTTCATTGTATTAAACTAGAATGCAATAAAGTCTTCATTTTCTACTTTTGATTTTTTTAGGTTAATTGAATAGCATTATTAACTTGTGAAATTATGGCTTGCTAAATGATTATTTTACACAATTTGCTTTGTAACCTATATAGGAATTTATTAATTTAATTTGTTCTTCTTTTCATTCTAAAAACATTTAGAAAAATAGAATATTGTTATTTTTCCCTCTTTTTTATGTTATTTGCAAAATTTTTAAAGGACCTTCCAATTAGAGTCCTCTGATTGCCTTTTGGGGGCATATTATTGGAGAATTCTCAGGTTAATAGATTGTTCTTTGTTTCTAGCCATTTGCTTAGCACCATCATGTCATTTACATGTTTAAGATCAATATTATCACCTCATTGTCTATCTCCTCAGCATGGCAGATGAGGCCTTTCTTAATCACATCCCAACTAACTTATTAGTTTGGCACTGCCTATATTCTCCCCTATTGTGTATTCTATGTGTGTTAGTCAACTTCTGTCATTATAACAAATACCTGAGATAATTAATACATAGAGAATAGGTTTGTTTTGGCTCATAGTTTGAAAGTTCCAGTCTATGATTGGTTGGTTCCTTGCTTTTGGGCCTGTGGTGTGGCAGCATATCATGGTGGGAACATGTGGTGGAGCAAAATTACTTACCTCATGACCTTAAAGCAAAAATACAGCGGGGACATAGCAAGGGCGTCACATAGTTCCCTTCAATGGCATACTCTTATTTACCTAAAGACCTCCCACTGGTCCTCACCTTTTAAAGAATCTACCATTTCCCAGTAGTACCTTTCTGGGGACCAAACCTTTAAGACATGGAGCTTTGGGGGGCATTTAAATCTAAATGTAGTACTATACTTTGATAATATGAAACTTGGCCTTTCTCTGAGCATGTTTCCATGCACTAAAATCTGTCCTCTCTGATTGAAAAACCCAGTGTCATTGTTCAGTTTCCAACTTAAGTTACTTTCTCTATTGTGTGTTCTTTTAGTTGATTGTTTAATATTCTGTGTTATATTGTTTAATATTCTGATATGAAAATCATTATTATAGTACTTATATTGTATTGGATTTTTTTTCATCTTTTCTTTCACTTGATTAGTAGCTGTTAGAGTGTAGAAAAATTATCTAGAAGGCAGGAGCAATATCTTGGGTTTTGACCTTTCATTTGTTCTTCTATTCAACAAAGATTCACTGAGCACCTGCTCTGCTAGTTATTGTGTAATGAGAAATTAATAGATAGCTATCATAGACTGACACAGGATTTCTCACCTCTGCACTTTTAATGATTTGGAACAAATTTTTTTTTTTTCCTGGGAAATGTTTTCTGCATTGTGGAATGTTTAGCAGTACCCCTGGCCTGTACTCAGTATATTCCAATGTATCTGCTTAGTCCTGATAATAAAAGCTATGTCTAGACATTAGCAAATGTCCTCTAGGGTATAAATCAGCTGCAGTTGAGGTTAACTGGTCTAGAGAGAGAGAATGAATTAAACTTTGAGTGCTCATTAAATATTAGGCTTTGTGATAGATCTGTAGCCATTTCCTATAGTTTTATTTAAAATATTAAGTAGAAATTTCCAGAAATAAGCAATTTTTAAGCTTTAAATTTTATATTATTCTGTGTAGGATGATGAAATCTGCCATCGTACTTCTTCCTGTCCAAGATTGAATCATCCCTTTATCCAGTGTCCATTCTGTAAATGCTACCACCCTGTAGAATTCATCTCTGTTATCAGTTCTGATCACTCATGGTATTCCAGTGCTTGCATTCAGCTAACCTTTATTTTGGTTAGTAATGGGCCCAAAGCAAAAGGATAATGATGCTAGCAATTTGGATGTACCAAAGAGAATCTGTAAAGTGCTAACTTTAAGTGAAAGTTCTCAACCTAATAAGGAAAGAAAAAAAAATTATGTGCTAAGGTTGATAAGATATATAGTAAAGGATTAATCTTTTATGCAGAAATTTTGAAGAAGGAAAAAGAAATTTGTGCTAATTTTGTTGTCACACATCAAGTTGCAGAATTTATGGCCATGATATGTGATAAGTACTTAGTTAATATAGAAAAGTCATTAAATTATTTGAGTTCAGAAGTATCTGCAGTTTCAGATATTCACTGGGGGTCTTGGGACATATCTCTTGTATATAAAGGGGGACCTACTATATTTCAGTTAATTCTCTGATTTATTACTTACATAATTAGAGATCACATGTATAAAAATTACATGTAGCTAGTAAGTTATAAATCTAGAATTTTATACCAAGTCTTTCTGACTCCAAAGCCCATATTTATTTAATTATAGCCCAGTTATGTGAACAAGCAGACACACAATATTCAATGTATTTTAAATACTATATTATATATGTTCAAAGTTCTGTGAATGTATAGAGGGGGAAATATTCAATTCTTTTCCTGGACAGGCATAGAAGTAGTATGAGTTAAGTCTTTGCAGAGGATTGATGGTTGTTGTGAATTTTGAAGAGCATTCACATAATCTCAGTTATGCAAGGGAATGTGTGATGATTTTGTTAAGCAAAAGCAAAGAGGCTTGCTACTTTTGTTTCTTAAGTATTTGGTCTGTCACAGTATGGCTCAACAAATGAGTGAATGGTCATAGAGTATTTATATTTACCTTTGGAAGAACAACTCAGGAAATGTATTTCTGTATACCTTTATTTATGAGCAGATATATTTAGCTAGAGTGAGGAGTATGAAGTAGAATGTTGGAGAGAGAGAGCAGTATGGTCAGATTGTTGAAATATTATATATTCTCTTGCTTCTTGTCTTCTGATTGTGCTTTTTCTGGGCTTAAATTTTTATTTTATTTTTTGGTGCTAGGTGTTGAGCCCAGGACCTTGTGTGTGCTCTGCCACTGAACTATTTTCCTTGCCTGGGCCTACGTTTGTGGTTCCAAATGAGTAGAGTGGGTATTCTTCACCAAATAAAGTGTATTTTTCATTGCATATCAGTGTGAAGAAGAGCATGTTCTAAAATTATTTATTTTTTTAAGCACATACTCTGTGCCAAGAATTTTGTGAGGTGTTGGAATACAAAAATTAAGACAATATCTCCTTAGACTCCTCATACTCACTGCAGGATATCATCTTTATCTTATTCCTTGAACCTTTTCTTTTTCTCTCAACAGTGTTGACAATGTCTTTTGTCCACCACTGTACCTTGTAGGTATCTCAATTTGTTGATTCTTTTTTTAACTCAACAAGTATTTATTGTTTGCAATCAGATTGGCACTGTTCTTAGAGCTGTCATTCCAGTAGGAGACACAGATAGCAAACACATAGCTAAGTAATACAATTCTGGGGAATGATAAGTGCTTTGAAAAAAAATAAAACCTAGTAAAGAGATAGTAACAAACACAGCTATTTTATATAGAGTGCACATGGCCAACCTCAATGAAGAGGTAACATTTGAGAAGAGACATAAAGTGAGCAAAAGAACCCTACAAATGTGTTTAGGAATACTGTTCCAGTCAGAGGGAATGATAGAGGCAAAATTCCTTAGGGAAGCCTTAGTTGGTAGGACAGAATAATAAATAATAAGACCACCTTTGTTGCAGTACAATGAGAGAGAGGTTTGTGGTGGAACTAGGGTCAGTTTATGTGGAATCTTATATGCTGGGTAAAGGTATGGGTTTTGCATTTGATCATTTTTTATTGGGAAATCATTGGAAGGTTTTTAAAAAGAGTTTTGGAATTATGGATTTTATTTTCAACTGTATTGGATGTCATTAAGTTTTGAGTAGGCAAGAAGTGTGATACATGTTTAAGAAAGATTATTCTGGATGCTTTGAGTGAACTATCAGAGGCCGTATTTGGCCAAGGAAACTAATTTGAAGACTGTTTTACCAAGAGATGAGGGTGAATGAATTAGAGGGGGATTGATAGAGGTGGTGTGAGGTGGTTGGATTCAAGATATATTTTGAATGTATAGGTAATAGGATGTTGTTGATGTGGAATGGAAGAGAATAAAAACAATATATGTATAAAAACAATACATGTATAAATAATATATGTATAAATAATTATAAATATCTAAATAATTATATGTACTGAAAATGGAGGGAGCAGGTTTGGAGAGGTATAGGAGTTAAGAATTCGATTTTTTAGCATTTGACATGCCTCACTGGTCCTTTACTCTATGAGACTGTTAACTGTTTGATTCCTGGGAACTGGTTTTATTTTTGTTTAATCAGCCTCAGGACATAAGTTGGCACATTATAAGAACTTAGCTTATGTTCATTGATTGTGTATATTACTTCATAAATAAATCCTATATTGATATAAAAACTTATTTTTGGTTTAATCCTATGATTGAAAAGCTATAATTTCCATCTTAAAAATGGAGAAAAATTAAAACTAAAAAATTTGTCACTTATTTTCAATTATTGCTAACTAAAGTTTTACTTTGTAGGTGGCACATTTTTATAATTCTGTTGATCAACAAATGATTCAGAGTCAAAGGCCAATGATGTTACAATCTGCCTTAGCATTTGAACAGATAATTAAGGTAGGTCTACTTTTTATGTTTTATAATTTAGATTTTACATGTGAAGTGATTCTTATTTCTTGGTTTTCAGTGGAGTCACTGAAATCCTTTCCCAGTGGAGTCATACAGGGAGTGTTAAATTCCCTCAGCAACAAGTTGTAATATATGTGAAATGTTTTTACTAGGGAAAGTCATTAAAGACTCACTCAGGTTTATATTGGGAGCTGGTCACATAGGCATTTTCTGCCCAGTATATACCAAACTACTAGACTCCTAGAAGACAAGCAACTATTTAGCATAAACCATGTTGTTTGGGTATCATTCAATCAGTTAAGGTGGTGGGACTGTTTTAGAAATCTAAGTTCCCAAACCCTGCTAGCTAATGGCCAATCTTTTAAGGAGTCCTTTCAAATGAGTCAAACTTACTATCTTAAGTCAGACTTATGATCTTAACTCTTTTCTGCACATAAGTCTCAGGCTAAAAATTTACTGACAACTATATAATTCATATTGTAGATGTTTTAAATCTTTTTTAAAAATAAATTTGTTTTGAATAACACGAGTTTAATGGAAAGTTTAAGAATACAGGTAAACAACAAAAAAGCCTAATAGATGGTCATTTTTTAACAGTTTGTATATATCCTTTTAAATTTCTTTTGCTATGTATACCTTTATAAGTATATATTTTGAATAGGAGATCATTTCTTATTATTTTTAACCTTTTTCACTTAATACACAATATTTTAATGTTTCATTTATAATGTGAAATAACATTTCGCTTATTTTGTTGTTGTAACTTTTTCTTCTCTAATAAATATATTCAAAATTAACATCTGTTGATATTTCTGAAAACATATTTTCTGAACTTGCCTTCTGAGAAATGAATATATATTATGTGTATGTTAAATGAGACATAATAGTGGACAAAGCTAAGATATGAGTAGAATGGAAAGAATACTAAGGTTCTTTATAAAGCTTTGGCCACTCATTATATTGTAGAATTTCAGAAGGCAGGGACTTGATATATTTTCATACTCTGTAGCAATAGAACAGTAAGTGGTATGTAGTAATTACTCAATAAATGCTTTTTAAACTGATTCACAGAAGATTCTATTGACTTTATTATAATTATTTAGTTTCATTCATTCATCATTATATTTCAGGGACTTACTCTGCACTACCATTTATCACTTAAAGTATAGAAACCTTACTTTTCTGTAGGTCTGTTTACTCTCTTATTTGTCTTAAGTATTTGCTTTAGTTAACATTATAAGATTTAAGGAACTTACGGGAAGGATAGTGTGTGTGTGTGTGTGTGTGTGTGTGTGTGTATTTTTGAATATATGTTTATATTTATTTATTTTTTCTCATCCCAATGTTCTTTTTTCCTTTATGAAGTTCCAAGCTTCTTTGGTTATCTGTTTATTCTTCCTTTAGCCATGCTTTAAGAGTAGATAGGCTAATGACAAATTTTCTTAGTTTTTCTTTGGGAATGTTTTCGTTTCTCTTCTTTCCTAAAGGATATTTTTACCATATTTAAAATTCATGTTTGACAGTTTTTGTTTTGTTTTAGCACTTTTAAAGTGCTGTTTTTCTTTTTGCTTATCTCCATGATTTCAGAAAAATTCATTATCATTCAGATTTATATTCCTCTCAAATAATACTTTGTTTCTCTGGCTGCTTTCAAGATTTCAATGATTTTTTTTCCTTTAGTTTTCTGAAGTTTTATTATTATTGTGATCTGGCATAGGATTTTTTAAGTTTGATCTTTTAGGGATTCACTCATATTCAGGTTTTTGTCTTTTGCAAAATTTTGGATGTTTTCAGTCATTGTTTCTTTGTATACTTATTTCAGTTTCTCTTCTCCTTTTAGGATGTCAGTATTTGTGTATTAGTTATTTTATCTCAGAGTTCCCTGAGAATCCTGTCTATTTTTTCCCCTATTTTCTTTCTTGTTCCATTGGGTGAATCCTATTGCTTTGTCTTCAAATTCACTGATTCTATTTTCTAACATCTCCACTCTATTATTGGGTCTAATTATAAAGTTTTTTTAAAGAAAATTTTTGTTATTGTATTTTTTAGTTCTATACATTTCAATTTTTTTCTGAAAATTTTCTTTCTTTTTTTTTCTAACTAGTTCTGAGAGTTTTTAATTGCTTATTGAAGTATTTTTATTATGAGTGCCTAAAAATTCATGTCAGGTTATTCCAGCATCAAATTCATTTCAGTATTGGCATCTTTTGATTATCTTTTCTCATTCAAGTTGTGCTTTTCCTAGTTTTTGATATCATGAATGATTTCAATTATATCCTGGTCATTTAGACATGGTATTATGATACTTGATAATATTTAATCCTCACCTTTTAGAAAATAGTTCTGGGTGGGTATATGTGTGTGTGTTGTTGTTTTTTTTTCCTGTTGGACCCTGCAGGAACCATTTTAATGAAAGTGGAATACTGATTTGCACTGTTTAATTGCAGATGAGAGGAGTGAAAGTTCAGTGCCTCCTTTTCCCCTCCATCCTGTGAAAGTGAGGCATCAACTTGTGTTAACTCACTGCCTGCAAGCAGGGTGTGCAAGCCCCGTTTCCTCTTTAGCCCCATCAACAATACCTTGGCATAGGAATTAGAACACGGCCTGCTTTTACAAGGAGCGATAGAGAATCAGTTATCCATTTGGTCCCACTGAAACTGCAAAGGGGGTAGTTTTCCTTTGGCTACTGTATGTTGTGCATTCCTCACGATTTTCCTAACCTTTTGTCTCAAGAGAAAATACTTCTTAAAGTTAGTCTTCTGCAAAGACTTAGCCAGAATATATAGAAGACAGTAAGGAAACCGAGGTATGTTGTTACCTAATTCCTGAAATGTTTGGACTACCTGTTCTCTTCATTCTACCATTTAGTCTTTCTATGCTTCTTTGCTGTGTTATATGTAAGGGTTTTTAGTTATAAGAGGGAGACCCTGGAAGAAATAGAGCTACTCAATCTTGCCTGGACCATATAATTTATAGAAATTATTATATACTTAAATTTTTTGGTATTGGGGATTGAATCCAGGGGTACTTAATAACTGAGCAATATCCCCACCCCTTTTTATGTTTTATTTTGAGACAAAGTCCTATTAAATTGCTTAGGGCCTCACTACATTGCTGAGGCTGGCTTTGAACTTGTGATCTTCATACCTCAGCCTTCTGAGCCACTGGGTCTGCAAGCTTGCGCCACCACACTCAGCTATATTTTCTTTATTGCAGGTCGGCGTTGGGGATAATCGAGCTTATGATATAGAATTAAATCTTTCGAAATTATCACTATTTGCAGATGATATGATTCTATACCTAGCAGACCCAAAAGGCTCTACAAAGAAACTATTAGAGCTAATAAATGAATTCAGCAAAGTGGCAGGATATAAAATCAACACACATAAATCAAAGGCATTCCTGTATATCAGCGACAAATCCTCTGAATTGGAAATGAGGACAATCACTCCATTCAAAATATCTTCAAAAAAAATAAAATACTTGGGAATCAACCTAACAAAAGAGGTGAAAGACTTATACAATGAAAACTACAGAACCCTAAAGAGAGAAATAGAAGAAGATATTAGAAGATGGAAAAATATACCCTGTTCATGGATAGGCAGAACTAACATCATCAAAATGGCGATATTACCAAAAGTTCTCTATAGGTTTAATGCAATGCCAATCAAAATCCCAACGGCATTTCTTGTAGAAATAGAGAAAGCAATCATGAAATTCATATGGAAAAATAAAAGACCCAGAATAGCAAAAACAATGCTAAGCAGGAAGTGTGAATCAGGCGGTATAGCGATACCAGACTTCAAACTATATTACAGAGCAATAGTAACAAAAACAGCATGGTACTGGTACCAAAACAGGCGGGTGGACCAATGGTACAGAATAGAGGACACAGAAACCAATCCACAAAACTACAACTATCTTATATTTGATAAAGGGGCTAAAAGCATGCAATGGAGGAAGGATAGCATCTTCAACAAATGGTGCTGGGAAAACTGGAAATCCATATGCAACAAAATGAAACTGAATCCCTTTCTCTCGCCATGCACAAAAGTGAATTCAAAATGGATCAAGGAGCTTGATATCAAATCAGAGACGCGCCGTCTGATAGAAGAAAAAGTTGGCTACGATCTACAGTCGGTGGGGTCGGGCTCCAAATTCCTCAATAGGACACCCATAGCACAAAAGTTAATAACTAGAATCAACAAATGGGACTTACTCAAACTAAAAAGTTTTTTCTCAGCAAAAGAAACAATAAGAGAGGTAAATAGGGAGCCTACACCCTGGGAACAAATCTTTACTCCTCACACTTCAGATAGAGCCCTAATATCCAGAGTATACAAAGAACTCAAAAAATTAGACAATAAGAAAACAAACAACCCAATCAACAAATGGGCCAAGGACCTGAACAGACACTTCTCAGAGGAGGACATACAGTCAATCAACAAGTACATGAAAAAATGCTCAACATCTCTAGCTGTCAGAGAAATGCAAATCAAAACCACCCTAAGATACCATCTCACTCCAGTAAGATTGGCAGCCATTAGGAAGTCAAACAACAACAAGTGCTGGCGAGGATGTGGGGAAAAGGGTACACTTGTACATTGCTGGTGGGACTGCAGATTGGTGCAGCCAATTTGGAAAGCAGTATGGAGATTTCTTGGAAAGCTGGGAATGGAGCCACCATTTGACCCAGCTATTCCCCTTCTTGGTCTATTCCCTAAAGACCTAAAAAGAGCATGCTACAGGGACACTGCTACATCGATGTTCATAGCAGCACAGTTCACAATAGCAAGACTGTGGAACCAACCTAGATGCCCTTCAATAGACGAATGGATAAAAAAAATGTGGCATTTATACACAATGGAGTATTACTCTGCATTAAAAAATGACAAAATCATAGAATTTACAGGGAAATGGATGGCATTAGAGCAGATTATGCTAAGTGAAGCTAGCCAATCCCTAAAAAACAAATGCCAAATGTCTTCTTTGATATAAGGAGAGTAACTAAGAACAGTGTAGGGACGAAGAACAGGAGAAGAAGATTAACATTTAACAGGGATGAGAGGTGGGAGGGAAAGGGAGAGAGAAGGGAAATTGCATGGTAATGGAAGGAGACCCTCAGGGTTATACAGTGGAGGAGGTAGAGAGAGAGGAGGGGAGGGGAGGGGAGAGGTGGGGAGGGGGGAGGGTGGAGGATGGGAAAGGCAGCGGAGCACAACAGACACTAGTATGGCAATTTGTAAATCAATGGATGTGTAACTGATGTGATTCTGCAATCTGTGTATGGGGTGAAGGTGGGAGTTCATAACCCACTTGAATCAAAGTGTGGAATATGATATGTCAAGAAATTTGTAATGTTTTGAACAACCCACAATAAAAAATTAAAAAAAAAAAAAAAAGAATTAAATCTTTCGGAAAAAAGAAATTATCTAAATACTAAATGAAATTTATTGTACCATAGAATTCAAAAGCAGGAAGTGGAGGAAAGTCACAAATTACTTGGGATAATCCTAAAGAATTAGAAGGCTACATTCAAAAGCTCCAAAATGCTGCTGAAAGACTTGCTACTGAAAATAGAAAACTGAGAAAATGGCACACTACATTTTGTGAAAAGGTATATATATATATTGTTTATACAATTGAATAAGCTATGAAATTAATTGGGACACAATTTTTTTTGGGGGGTATAAGGGGCGCTTGAACTCAGGGGCACTAAACCACATCCCTAGCCCTATTTTGTATTTTATTTAGAGACAGGGTCTCATTGAGTTGCTTAGCACTTTGCTTTTGCTGAACCTGGCTTTGAACTCACGATCTCCTGCCTCAGCCTCCTGAGCCACTGGGATTACAGGTGTACACCACTGCACCCAGTTTAGGACACAATTTTAAAAGTCTTATTTTTGAAATAATTTGAGACTTAAAGTTGCAAGAATAGTATATAGTTTACATTTATACTTCACTTAGCTTCCCCTGATGTGAACAACTTACATTAGTATGGTTATCAAAACCAGGAAATAGACTTTTGAATTTTACAAGTATTTCTACTAACTTTTTTTTCTAGAATAAAATTCAGTTTCTTAGTTTGCATTTAGTTATTGAGTCTCTTTACTCTTCTCCTTCTCAGTATTTCCTTGTTTCATGACCTTGATGCTTTTGATAAGTACTGGTCAGTTATTTGTGGAGTCTCTCTCAATTTAGGTTTATATGATATTTTATCATGCAATTTTGACAGGAATATTATGGAAATATTTAGCCCTTCTTGGTACACAAGGCAGGTGTTAATATTTCTTATAGGTTGAGTCATACTTGATCACTTGGTTAGGATAGTGCCTTGTCAGTTTTCTCTATAGAAAAGTTACTGTTTTTCCATCAACACTTTGAGATTATAATGCTCTAATTTAAAAAAAAGAATTAAATTATTTATTTATTTTTGTGTTTCTGGAATTGAACCCAGGGCTTTGTACGTGCTAGGTAAGTACTATACCTCTGAACTACACCTTCAGCATTATGCTTTAATTTTTAATAGGTGGTCGTTCTTATGAATATTGATCTACTCCGGCAGCAGCAACGTTGGAAAGATGGATTACAAGAACTGAGAACGGGCTTAGCAAGTGTAGAAGCACAGGTAGATTATGTTTTACTTTGTGTCAATACTTTGAAATGATCTTTTCAGAATGTGAATATATGAATTGATGAGAGTTCAGAAGGGTATCTGTTAAATCCTTGCTTATAAATTCCTATCAAATTTAGAATTATTTGACTGAATTACATATAAAGTCTATAAATTAACAATGAATTTCTATTGAAAATATAAAAATCAATATCTATTTGTCTTATGGAATGCCTAATCCCTTAATTCAAGAGTTTGTTGTTTTTCTGACTTGGTGCTTAAACATCTATCATTTATCTTTTAGGTGATTTTGACATCTGTAGAACACAGTTTAGATGGAAGCCTAATGATTGAAAGAACTCTTTGTCACAATTTTTTCTTTTTAGGAGGGAGGATAAAACTCAAGTTTTATTCAGATTTTGATATAAGATGATGTATATACAGCAAGTAGCACAGAGCCTGATACACAAGAGCTGATAGTGGGATCTTACTTGAATATGAATTAGCTCTCTTAGATGTTTTCAGTTTTTAGAACTTTAAGAAAAACCCCGGGCTGTATGTGATGGCACCCATATGTCATCCCAGCAGCTTGGGAGCCTGAGGCAGGAGGATCATGAGTTTAAAGCCTGCCTCAGCAACTTAGCTAGGCCCTTAGCAATTCAGTGAGAACCCTGTCTTTCAATAAAAAGTTTAGTGGCTAAGGACCTCTGGGTTCAATTCCTAGTACCCAATATAGAGAAACCTCAAAGTATTTGAATTGATACAATTATGATTATGTAGAAACAAAAATAATATGTAAGCTATCCCTCTAATAAAATAAATTTTTCATATTTTTAAATATCCAGTAGGTTACTTAGGGAGTAGGCAGAGAAAAGATGAGCTATACTTGATGGGAATTTGGAAAAAATTGAAACAAATTTGAAAAAATTTTGAAAAACATGAGGACTAAAGTATTCATAAAATAAGCCTTGTTTGTGTACTGCATTATAAAACAAAGTACAGATATGAAATCCGTTTAATATTAGGTTAATTTTTAATTTTTACTGACCTTTATAAGCATAAGATTAGATATTTTCATATATGATGCTGTGAAAATTCACTAAAAGTGCCAATTAAGGAGTTGCATGTTTTAAAATATTTAAAATGAGTTTTTAAAAAAAATTTTAAGTGTAATTTATGTGACATGAAAGTATTAAATAAAAAATCTATTCTGTCACATAATTTTCAAATAAAAATATGTGAATGTAACATATTAGGGATTCCAAGCAAGTGATATGCACGCATGGAAGCAGCACTGGAACCATCAACTATATAAAGCTCTGGAACATCAGTATCAGATGGGCCTAGAAGCACTTAATGAGAATCTGCCTGAAATTAATATAGACTTAATTTACAAGTAAGATATTTTAAAACTTCACTTTAATTTTCAAATATTTTATATTTTAAAATATAAATTATAAATATATGTAATTAAATTTATATTTTATTTTCAGACAGGGACGGTTACAGTTCAGGCCCCCTTTTGAAGAAATTCGGGCTAAATATTACAGAGAAATGAAGAGATTCATTGGCATTCCAAATCAGTTTAAAGGAGTGGGTGATGCAGGAGATGAATCTATTTTTTCTATTATGATTGATAGAAATGCAAGTGGTTTTCTTACTATTTACAGCAAAGCAGAAGATTTGTTTAGAAGATTATCAGCTGTTTTACATCAACATAAGGTACAAAACATATAATTTTTCATCCTTCTATTGTATCTTTCAGTTGATTGAATTAACATTAAAAGTACAGGTTAATAATTTATCTTATGTGGCATTAAATTAAAATATGGCAAACCAGAGTCCCTGATTTGTCATTCTTTATGAGGAGCATGACTGCTTAAGTGAATCATACCAGCTTACTTCACTTTGAAGCCCCAATTTCATGACTCATTTGTATTGATACTGAAGACATTTTACTAAATTTGTTCAGTTCCTTAACTGCCTCTGCAGTGTTTTTAAAAAATATTTTTTAGTTGTCATGGACCTTTATTTTTTATTTATTTATATGTCGTTCTAAGAATTAAACCCAGGGCTCCATACACGCTAGGCAAGCAATCCATGACTGAGCCACAATCCCAGCCCCTCTGCAGTGGTTTTGCATTTTAAATTTCTAGAATCTACTAGGTAAGTCTTGATACTTTCAGATTTGTAACTTTTAGTGAGTTTTGGCTTTACAAAAGTGATTTTATTTTTGTATTTTATGTACATCTAATTTGAGAAGAGAATCTAAAGAAAGGTTATTAACTTCTTTAGAAAGTGTATGATTACTATATTTTCATATTGAATCTTTTTTTCCCCCCCTCTTCATTCTTTAGTCTATGTAGTGATCATTACACTTACTTATTTGAATTGACATTTATTGAATGGCCACATTTTCTTCATTTTATTTGTCTTAATGGTTGGATTTTAATCTTTTAAATATCAACTTATTAGTTCTATTTCTTTAAAATTATGTTTTTATTCTTTAAATAGGAATGGATTGTAATTGGGCAAGTCGATATGGAAGCTCTGGTGGACAAGCATCTTTTTACTGTACATGATTGGGAGAGAAACTTTAAAGCACTGAAAACAAAAGGGAAAGAAGTGGAACGACTTCCAAGGTTAATGTAATACTTATGTATCATAATAGTTTTTTTAAATTTTTTTTTTAGTTGTAGATGGACACAATATACTTATTTATTTTTATGTGGTGCTGAGGATCGAACCCAGTGCCTCACATGTTCTAGGCAAGTGCTCTACCACTGAACTACAGCCCCAGCTCCTCATAAGAGTTTTTGATATGGATAGTAAGGGTACTTTCTCTTCAGTGGGATTGAAATCAAATCAGCTTGTTCTTTCCTATAGAACTCTACTTTGACATTTGAGTATTATTTGGGTGGAGATTTACGTAGAATGAATGAAGTTTCCCTTCTAGATGCTCTGCTGGCTGGCATCTAGTTGGGTAGAAAAGACTGGGGGAAGAGGCTTGTATTCATTTCTGATATTAGGATCTGGTAATTGATATGCATCAGCCCAGAAGCTACTGGAGAGAGCATACTAGAGTATACAAAATTAATGGTATTTAACTCTACTTTTGTATTGTTCTGTTCCCTTTTAAAAGCCTTAGGAAGTATACAACATAGTGCTGCATCTAAGTATTACTTTAAATGTGGATAAAAATCTCTGAAGGGTTTCTCATAACTTAGCTACTTGAGAATGTGTCCCCCTTTCTTATCTGAAATTCCCACCACTTCTTTTGGCAATAAACATTCCATGAAAGGCCTCATGTAATAGTGTATATATTACCTACAAAAGATGACAACACCTTTATTAATTTGTTTATTATTTAATAAAGATTTGGTGAGCATTTATAACATGCAAAACCTTGTGTTCTAGGGATACAAAATAAAGAAGAGTGAATTTCAAATCAAGTTGCTTTACTCTCTGGTAATGCAGTATGACAAGTACATTTAATAAGTCAAGTACAGTGAGGAGTAATTAGATGGCTCTTAATTAGCTGCATGATTTTGACAGTCATTAAAATTGTGAGGCTAAATATCTTCAGCTTTAAAATGCAACAGTAGGGGCTGCGGTTGTGGCTCAAGCGGTAACATGCTGGCCTGGCATGCGCGGGGCGCTGGGTTCGATCCTCAGCACCACATAAAAATAAAATAAAGATGTTGTGTCCACCGAAAACTGAAAAATAAATATTAAAAAATTCTCTTCTCTCTCTCTTGAAAAAAAAAATAAAATGCAACAATAGTATTTATTTATCTTATAGTATTTTGCAAGTTAAATTAGTAATTTGAATATAAATTAGTGGTACAGGATATAAATTCAGTAAATGTTAGTTTTTAATTGTCATTAAAAACAAATTGAATAGTCCATATTCCTTATTAGAGGTTGAACTAAAACTATGAGGATTCAGAGGATGATGACACTCATTCATTTGGGGCAAAATCAGAGAAAGCTTTGTTATAATAGTAACAATTGAATTAGAATTTTGAGACCTAGAAATGATAATGGAAGGTGAGAGAAGGTATGATTTCAGTTATACTGAGAAAAATAGATTGAAGTACAGATTTGGGAGAGTATTACATTCTGAAATAGGGGATTCATTTTATAATCATTAGCTTTTTTTTTCTTTAAAAATTTTGTTTTGTAGTTGTAGATGAACAGAATGCCTTTATTTTGTTTATTTTTATTTGGTGCTGAGGCTTGAACCCAGTGCCTCATGCATGATAGGTAAGTGCTTTGCCACTGAGCTACAGCCTCAGCCCCTAATGCTTAGCTTTTGAAGATTTCTAAACAGGAATGTGTCTATATCAAAGCTGTGCTTTTGGAAGGTCAGTCTGAAAACAATGAATTGTATGGCAGAATAAAGATATTCCAGATGTATCAGTCATTCAAAGACCAGTAGTAATTAATCAAATTAAGTTTTTGGCACTCAAACCGAGTGTAACTACTCAAGAATTTTGCTGCTACCTTTTCTATTTGTTCCTTACTGTAGATAGCTTTTCTCTTTATGCTTCCTTGCCAAAGTTAAAAAAAAAGAATGTGTGTCCCACATTCCATTTTGCTATTTCTTGCTAATAAATTAACGTGTATGCATCGAAGCTAACATGCACATAAATGCACATACAAATACATACACAGGTATTTATTTCAGTGGTATTTTTTGAAGGTATAAGATTAGAAAAGCTACAACTAGTGATGTATTTAAGATGGTATACAGTAAGGATATAATTTTTGGGTAGGTATCTTTGAAATACAATGAGATATCTTCCTGTTCTCTCTTTGGTTGAATGGAATCTCAGTTACATATTATAAATATTTTCAAATGAAAGATGAATATTAGTCTTGTTGAATGTCCATAGAATTCAACAGTCAGTGATTATGACTTCTTTGCTCTAATTATGTCACTTTATGTTAATCCATTAGCAAAAAACCCAATAATACATATAATTTTTTTACTTATACCTTTTGCTGGCTAAAACTGTAGTTTAGGCTTTTCAAACTAGTTGATGATTGAGAAAAAATTAATAAAGCTTTAAAGGAAAATCATATTTAAGTTATAACTGTGAATACTTAACACATATAACTTGATTTCTGAGGTTCTCCCCTGGCTCTGTGGTTTGGAAAGGGAAAATATCTGTCTAAGTAATATTTCTGGCCAAAATTTTTATATCTTTTTTAAAACTGCATAATTTAAGATAAATAGGAGACTTTCCTCAGATGAGTGAGTCTAATTCAACTTTCTTTGTTTAGAACATTACAATCTGCATTAAGGACACTATGAAAAGAATTAGCTTAATTTTTTTATAATAAAAAGTAGTATATTTTTAAAAATAAATTTAAAAAATATTGAAAAATACAATGGCAGTAGCTATTTGATGGTTTGGATATATTAGTATGTTGTATTAGTCTATTGTCCATTGCTATAACAAACTATCTGAGGTTGGGTAATGTACAAAGAAAAGAGATTTTATTCACCTCACAGTTTTCAAGGTTTGGAAGAATGGTGTTGGCATTGTCTTGGCTTTGGTAAGGACCCCATGGTGGTGAGAATGCATATAGGAGGGAGAGATCATATGGCAAGACATGAAGTCAGAGAGATTAGGGTCAGGCTTGCCCTTTTATAATAATCGACTCTCTGAGGCCAGCGTTACTCTTTTCTGAGGGCAGCATTTGCCAATGACCTAATCACCTCATACTAGGTCAAACCTCTTAAAGGCTCCATTACCTCTCTCATCACCACCACACTGGGGTCTAAACTTCCAGCACATGAAATTTTGGGGGGCAAATTCCATTCAAAACATTGCATACATATACTTAGGAAGTTTGAATCATATTGTAACCTGTTTTTTTAAAAAAATAATTTCTCTAATATTTTACCATATTATTTATTATCCTCAAAAATATTATTTTTAATTATATGGATATATAATAATTTAGCTATTATTGCACTTAGATTTTTTTCTAAGTTTTCACTATTACAGTTAATGCCTTGATGAAGATAATTGTATACAAGTCTTGGAGTCCTTAGGGAAACTTCTAAAGTTGGCATTTAAACAATCAGAGAAATTCCCTATTTTAAAACTATATGATATATAAATTGTTCTTCACAAAGTTTGAATTATTTAATACTTTCAGTAGCACTTCTGAGAGTTTTCGTTTTGCCTACATGTTTGAAAATGCAAATTAACCATTCTCTATTTTTATCATTTTGATAGGTATAATATGGTATCTCAATTATTATTTTAGTGCTATAATAATCTTTATTATTTATATATTTTTTCTTTTCATTATCATTGTTGTTTTTATTTTTGCTGCAGTATAGTGAATTTATTTTATAAATATTTACATATTTACATGCCGTGGCAATTAGAGCTTGAAATATTTGACATGTTCTGTTGAATTTTCTGTGGTTCATAATGTGCTGCTTTTTAAAAAACTGATACATTAGATGATTAAAAGTTAGTGTTGTAATGAAATCTTTCAATGAAAACCTTTGGAATAGTGGTAATAAGGCATTTTTGCTAAATTAAAGCTAAAATCTTAATGTGTTTAAAGATCAGAATAATACTTTTGTCTTACATTTTTAAATGTTTTTACAAAATTATTATAATATTTTAAGGAGGTTGTTTCCTTTAATTAGTCTTTTCATGTCACATATGTTCATTGGCTTTTTTCAGTTCTGTCAAGGTTGATTGTTTAAATATTAATTGCAACCCTGTGAAGACTGTGATTGATGATCTCATCCAGAAGTTATTTGATATGCTTATTCTTTCTTTGAAGAAATCCATCCAGGGTAAAAACAATTTTTAATTTTAATGTTAACTTCATTTTGGATGTAGAGACATATACTGTGATAGTTATAAAATATGAATCTTAATGATTAAAAATTAAAACTGAAGTAGAAAATATGAAAAAATTCTCTAAATAATAGTTTAAAGACAGTGGAAGAATTTGACATAACTTTCCTATGTACATATATGAATACAACATACTGAGTCCCACCATTGTGTATATTGACAAGACTGGGGCCCTCATTAAAATAGAATATATTCCATGCATGTATAATTTTATCAAAATGGACTCTGCTGTCATGTAAAAGTAAAAAGAACCAAATCTTCATTTTTTTCTTTACTGGTCTAAAGATTGAGGATATCTTTATTATTTAGAATTTAAACTAGAATAAGTTTGTTGCATATATTACTGAGAAAGGTAAGGAATTCTGGCATAATGAATTTTCTCCTTATCTTTTCAAATAACAAATTGAGATATTTTAGCATATTACTTAAAAGACTGAAAATATTTGTAATTGTTAATGAAATTTATTAATAACTATTTTCAAAAATTTTAAGTGGAATGTGAAACAAAATTTTATTGGAAAAATTGTTTTTCTTATTCCATATTTTGAAATTTTATTGTATGAAAGCAAATAATAATTTAGGATTTAATGCATTTTATGTAGTGATTACTTCTAACACTTCTGGATTTAGAAATGACATAATCAAATATTTTTGTGATAATAATAATGTGACATATTTCAATGTTATCTACTCAGCTCATTTACATAAAATTGATACATTTGTTACTGAGGCTATGGAAATCTTAACAGTTATGCCACAGTCTGTGGAAGAAATAGGCGATGCAAATTTACAGTACAGTAAGCTGCAGGAACAGAAGCCAGAGGTAAGAATCCCAAATTAAAGTTATTATTGTTTATCCTACTGGAGATTTTTTAATTAGTTAGTTTTATGTGCTTATTTAGAAATATGTAATCTTAGCATTATAAAAGGTTTATATAATTTAATCAATCTTGTCTGAAGATGATCAGACTTTTGATGCTGTTTTTATATAATAAAAAAAAAAAGGTAATGTTTATATTGTTTTCAGAAGCATTTGCAGTCTGTTTTATGATGGGACATAAGAATATTGTGTTTAAGGATATTATTGTGAATAAGGATATTACGTAAGAATAAATTTAAATAATTCATGCTTTTACCTTCAGAATTGTAATTTTAGGATGCTAAACTATGGAGGTAGGGCTGAATTATGAACACACACACACACACACACACACACACACGATGGAAGAGCTTTTAATTAAAGACATATGAAAAAGGGATAAAGATTCATAAAACCAGTATCCATAAGGCTAGAGCCCAGAATAAGGAAGCCAAAATTTTATGAACATATTATGGCTGATTTCAATTGTTTTTAGACTAGAAGAAGAAATAATTCAAGTCAGTACACAAACTTTTATGTGTCCCTACTATGCAATAGACTTAAAGTCATATAGTGAATTTAATGGTGAATGACAGTAATACACTGCCTGATGTAGGGGCACATATGTGTAATTGCAGCTACTCAAGAGGCTGAGGCAGAAGGATTTCAAGTTTGAGGCCAGCCTTAGCAATTTAGTGAGACCCTGTCTCAAAATTAATAAAATAGAACAAAACCTGGGGATGTAGCTCAATGGTAAAGCACTCCTGGGTTCAATCACTACTTCCCACCTCATCAAATATACGTACCTCTTTGTGGAAGGAATTATAAACTTTTATGTAATAGGTTGAAAGATATAAAAGAAAATTTAAAGGTGAATAAAATAATATATCTGTCTAGTAAAAATAATTAAAGAAGAAATGATTATAAACTATGGCATTTGGAAAAAGCACAGAGTCATTCATTTATTTCTTTGACAGATACTTACAGATCATCTGATACATTCTAGGCATTGTGGTAGGAGTTGGAATGCAGCTGTGGATGTGTTCTATTCTCATGGAACATGTGTGTGTATGTGTATATAAGTGTGTTTGTAAGAGGGAGGTTGTTTAGAGGAGCTACAGAAACGGTATGCTAAACAAGGGGCTGTATATAATAATAATTAAGCATTCCAGTTTATATCTAGGAATTTAACAAATTGTTTAAAAATAAATCTTGATTTTTATCTTCTGATCCGTAGTCAGACGCGTTATCCATTGCGCCACTGGCCCGTGCTAAAATCTTGATTTTTAAAAAAGCAATCATGAAATAAAATAAATGAAATCTTAAGAGATTTGATGAAATACTTTGTCACATGTTTTTCTTTTAACCTTTAGATTTTGCCCTTATTTCAAGAAGCTGAAGGTAAAAACAGACTTTTACGAACTGTGGCAGGTGGAGGTTTAGAAACAATTAGTAATCTGAAAGCTAAGTGGGATAAATTTGAGTTAATGATGGAAAGTCACCAACTTATGGTTAAAGATCAGGTAAGAACCTATTAATTAGGTTTTAAAAATGGAAACAATTCATTCTCACATTTTTTGCTTATATTTATTCCATTATAGCCCATATTTATAAGAATTTAATGTTGATGTTTAAATTGACCTTTGTCAGTATTTAAAAGTAAAATAATACATATTTTATGTAAATGATGTATCACATGGTTTGTCTTCATTTCTTACCATGCCAAGAAGAAAATAGTCCCTTTGAAACATAATCTTATTTCCAGTCTTGAATGAGTTTAGTGTTTGCCTGATGTATATACCTTAAATTGATTGTTTTTTTTAAATTACTGAATTTATTAAGATATCAGTTTGACTATTCTAATGAAGACTCAAAAAATTACAGCTTAAGTTTCTTTCTCAAGTTAAATTTCAAGCTGAAATGATGCCTCTGTCTATGACTTTGTCTGGGGCCCACTTAATTACCTAGTAAGGTATAAAGAAGAGGGAAAGAGAAATGCGCATCCTCTGTCTTTTTTAAGGGTATAATCTGGAGGTTGTACACATCTGTAGCATTCTTATGCTATATACTAGAATTTAGTCTGATGGCTCTTTGCTGCATGGAAAACTGGAAAAGCCTTCCTTTTAAGCCACTATATACTCAGAACCACCAGTCTTTGAACATTTTTTTTATTACATCATTTTTATTGATAGTTGTAGTCGGTGCTGTTAGTCATAAAAATGATTTAATGATGATAGTTGAATGTTATCTCTTGTTATCATAAATATATTCTAATTTTATATCATTGGAATTATTTTATTACATGTTATCATAAATATATATTCCAATTTTATGTCGTTAGAATTATTTTATTACACTTGAAGTCAATAATTGAGATTAAAACAATGCTTTGGAAAGTTAGTGTTCATATATTATCACTTCAAAACAGAAAATATTAGAAATAAAAATGTGAAAATAGAAATTTTGCTCTGCATTAAATTATTTAAACCTTGTTGGCTTACAGATTGAAGTGATGAAAGGAAATGTGAAATCACGTCTACAGCTCTATTATCAAGAACTGGAAAAATTTAAAGCTCGTTGGGACCAATTGAAACCTGGTGATGATATTATTGAAACCGGCCAACAAAATACCCTTGAAAAAAGTGCAAAGTCAATAAAAGAGAAAAAAATTGAATTTGATGATCTTGAAATCATAAGAAAAAAACTGGTGTATGTGTTTTCTTTATAACCAATTAGTTTGAAAAAGAAATTTTACATTTATATGTTAAGCTAACAGTTTTATTATATCTGCTGTCTTAATGCCTTTCCTGATAGTTCTTTTAACAACTGCAAATAATACATGTTCACATACTGCTTTCTTAGGAGTTATGTTATGTAAGGCTAGTAAAATAAAGCAAATTTCAAGAAATAGAAGATTAAATTTATTTATTAGTTAAATTAAAGCATTGTGATATTTTTCTGATCTCATCCTACTTAAAAATGTAATCATAGGGCTTGGATTATAGCTCAGTGGAAGAGCACTTGCCTAGCATGTTTGAGGCACTGGGTTCGATTCTCAGCACCACATATATCTAAATAAAATAAAGGTCCATCAACAACTAAAGAAAATTTGAAAAAATGGGATCAATGCGGAATGGAGGGAAGGAAGGGGGAATAGAAAAAGAAAGACAGTGAAATATTTTTGAAATATCTGACATTATTTTCCTTGTACATATGTAAACAACACAGTGAAATATATATATGAAATATATGAAAACAACACAGTGAATTCCACCATCATGTACATTCACGAGAATGGGATCCTAACTAGAATAAGTTATATTCCATGCTTGTGTAATTATATAAAAATGGGTTCTACTGTCATGTATATCTAAAAAAACCCAATAATAAAAAAAATGGAATATATAAAATTGTTGGAAAAATAGTTTGAATTTGAAAAAAATGAATCTAGCAGAATAAATAATAAAAATAAGACTTCAAAGAAAAAGCTGGATTGTTGGTTTACCTTATAATAATGTACAAATAATACAAGGTATTAATTTGAACATTGTTTTATTTAGGTAAAAGTATCCATAAAATAATTGTTTTCTTAGGTGAATGGAATTTTTATACCATTCTTATTAAGAGGCATTATACCTATTAGATGAAGAGTATCTTATAGTCAATTGAAAAGACTGTTTTCAGACTAATTGATAGATTTATAAAATCATGAACATTTATATATATTATATATGATATATATTATATACTAAAAAATCTCCCTAAATATGTTACCAACTCTATGTTGACATTTTTGAAAAAAGTGACCATTATGTAAGTAAAATTCTCATGTACTGTAGGAATCTTACACTGTCTATCTCAACTAAAAGACATACATGTCCCCCCCCACCGCCCCGCCACACACACACGTTTTCTTCGTCTTACACACACAGAATTTATTTGAATAATGACATTTTATAAATTTTCTTTTTTTAATTTAATATTTCAATATTTGTTTCTATAGTGATGATTGCCATCATTTTGGACTGGACGAGCCTAACTTCTCTATGGCAAATAGCATAGCTAAAGACATTGAAAGCTATGCACAGATTTGGACCCTTTATGAAGAATTTCAGCAAGGATTTAAGGAAATGGCCGATGAAGATTGGATTACTTTCCGGTTTGATTAAAAAACAATATTTAGATTTCTATAATTTAGTTTGTTTTGGGGATATGAACTCTGATATGTGTTTTTGTTATTTTGTAGGACTAAGACATATCTATTTGAGGAATTTTTGATGAATTGGCATGACAGATTAAGGAAAATTGAAGAACATTCGGTTATGACAGTCAAGTTACAATCAGAAGTTGACAAATATAAAGTAGGATTGTTTTACTTCTGATAATTAAAAATGATATTTGAAACTTTAATTTATCTTTTTACTATTTGGTGACTGAACCAAAATTTTAATTTATATATTTTTCAATTCATTTACTCTATTACATGAACAAATAAGAAATATAGAGTAAACTGTTATAAATATTTCTGCTACCAATTGGAAAGAAGTTTTAATTAGGAAATTTATTGTTAAGGTTATAGAGTATTTAATCATCTTACTACAATACATGTCATATCTTCAAATAAAAATAGAAATAATCTATGCTTTAAAATATGTTAAACTACAAAGGAAATTTGCATGTATTTTCAACAATGTTTAATAAAAAGTTTTATATACTTCTGTTTAAAAACATCATTTTAAGATTGTTAAATAAGATAATAGACTAATTAAAAATTAAAAAAAAATTTTTTCGTTGTAGATGGACACAATACCTTTATTTAATTAATTAATCAATTTTATTTTTATGTGGTGCTGAGGATTGAACTCAGTGCTTCACATGTGTTAGGCGAGCACTCTATCACTGAGCCGTATAGCCCAGTAATTAAAAATTTTGACGGCTAAAAATCATGAAAGTAAATAATTTGTATTTTGCAAATATACGCATATGTGTGTAAATATGCCTTTTTGTTCTCTTTTTTTCCACAGACTTCTATTCCTATCTTGAAATATGTGAGAGGGGAGCATCTTTCTCCAGATCACTGGCTTGACCTTTTTCGTCTACTTGGCCTTCCTAGGGGGACTAGCCTAGAGAAATTACAGTTTGGTGATTTGCTTAGAGTAACTGATACAATTGTAGCCAAAGCTTTAGAACTTAAAGTAAGAGAATTTTCTAAATATCCCATTAATTTGATCTTTTTTAATATACTATTTTGCAAATGAGATTTTTTTATTCCCTTAAAAATAGTAACAATGTACCATTATTCTATTATTCTTTCATTAGCAATACCTGTGAACCCATATATCACTATGTATAGTATTATAGAAACAATAATATAAACCCCTTCTTAGAGAAAACATATGAAATACAAAAAAAAATTTTCCTTATGAAGGAAGTCAGTTTTAATCTATGTAAATTATCTTACATAGAATGAATTTCAAATAATGTACTGTGCTACAAATTGAAAGATAGGATACAAAAATCAAAAACAAGTTTAATAATTAGATTCAGAAAAGGTCTCAGGTGAAAATAAAACTGTGACAATTCTGTCTTAAGTAGCAGAGTTTCTATGTTGTGTTCTGGCCATTCATTGTGAAAATACATAAGACTTAGATGCATTTTGTTTTATTTTCTATCCAAAATGTCAACCTTTATGTTTGTCAATAATTCTGGAGCATGTTTGATAATCACGGAAAGCTATAAAATATGATTGTTTTAGGATATAATTCTAGTTGATTGTTAATTATGTTACATGAATCAGAAATCACAATTAAGATTATAATAACATTTTTGTAGTTCCATTCTTCCAAAACTTGGCTTTTTGGTCTGCAGAACTTTAAATAAGCCAGATTAGTTTTGTTTCTGTTTTTCTTTTTTTTTTTCTTTTTTAAAAATTTTTATCTTTTTTAAATTTTTTATTGTTGGTTGTTCAAAACATTATCTGTTTTTCTTTTATAGAAATGAAAAAACAAACATAGGCTAAAGTTTGTATATACTTTGATCACATAATCATGAATGCTAAATATCTGATATGCTTTGAGGCAACAGCCAGTTATTTTCCTAGATTACTTGTAAAATATATGCACTTATTTTTTTTGCCTTATTATGAACATGCGGATAAAATATATTTTGCTTAAGGTATGTTCTTACCCAGATTCAGTGGAGCATACCTGTAATCCCAGCTACTTGGGACACTGAGGCAGGAGGATCCTAAGTTTGAGGCCAGCCTTAGCAACTTAGACCCTGTCTTAAAACAAAATTTAATGGAGCTGAATTTAGCTGAGAGGTAGAATGCTCCTGGGTTCAATCCCAGTAGTGCCAAAAGAGTATATTTGTTATAATTTACTTATAAGGGAATTAATTTTGAAATAATAAACATGGATATTTTGTGTTAAATAGGATTTAAATAGTCGGGCACAAGGTGAAGTTACCATCAGAGAAGCTTTACGTGAACTTGATCTTTGGGGAGTTGGAGCAGTGTTTACATTGATTGATTATGAAGACAGCCAAAATCGAACTATCAAGCTAATTAAAGACTGGAAAGATATAGTCAATCAGGTTGGAGATAACAGATGCCTTCTTCAGTCCTTAAAAGATTCTCCATATTATAAAGGATTTGAAGATAAAGTGTCAATTTGGGAAAGAAAACTTGCAGAGTTAGATGAATACCTACAGAATTTAAATCATATTCAAAGAAAATGGGTGTACTTGGAACCCATTTTTGGTCGTGGAGCATTGCCAAAAGAACAGACACGCTTCAACAGAGTTGATGAAGATTTTAGGTTGGTATCACTATATAAGACTTGGACATATATGGCAGTATTTTATTCATATTGTACTTAATACAGTACATTATTGGTGTCCTGTGTGTTCAATCTATTTCTCTGGTGGATCATTTTCTCTAGTGGATCATTCTGAAAAGCAGTTTTCATTCTTTCAAGCATTTACTTTTTTAACCTTTTTTGATAAGGTCTTTATTGATCTACTCAATATATGTACTTCCTAAAGTCACCAGTTTCCTTCTTCAACAACAACAGCAGCAGCAACTACCACCACAACCCAGGGCCTCATGCATACTAATCATGTACTCAACTACTGAGCTACCTTCTTGGCCCCTACATAATGGATATCTTGATATGTCCTGTTCCTTCCACTTCCAAATTCATTAAGTTATCAAATTTGATTGATTTTAACCTACTTAGTGTATCTTGAACTGAATACCTTTTATACCTCTACTGGTTCAATTCTGTTCTAAAATACTTTCTTACATAGATTCTACATTAACCTTCTGACTTGTTCTTGTCTTTTCTACTATGTTTTTCACACAATAGCCAGTCATCATTTAAAAATGCACTTTCATCACTTCTTTTAATCCTGTATGTGAAACTTTCATTTTACTTGTAAAATACATCGACTTAATTTAAAATGACTTTCTATTGCTCTAAGGATAAAACATGATCTGTTCCTTGTCTATGTCTCTAGACATTTTTTTTTGTTTTTTTTTGTGCTGCTTTCCTTTTATTTTTGTGAGTCTAGGATATAGTTTCTCAGACACATATAGCTCTTTCCTTGGATCTTTGCCAGAAACTGTTGTCCTCCGACTTCTCTTCTTATTCATTGTTTGTATCACAGTTTAAATTAATTATCAAAGAAGTCATAAGTTATGGATTGTCCTATTAGTTACTTTAATAATACATTGTACCTTTTCTTTTTAGCATTTATTATAAATTTATTTAAATATTTTGAGAAATTATTTAATGTTCTTCTCTGTCCTTGGAACCTTAGATCTGTGAGATGGGACTTAATAAGTGTTTAATGAATTAATTAAATAAAAATTTATAATAGGGAAGGATAAAAATTGTGAAATATTATTAATTTTCAGCATGATTTATTAAAAGCATAATAATATATTGCTGTTAAGTTTACTTACAGTTTACTTGAAGCAGATAAAAATGTTAATCCACATGTGACAGTAATTTTTCTTTTATAGATCAATAATGACTGACATCAAGAAAGACAATAGAGTCACAACATTAACTGCTCATGCGGGAATCAGAAATACTCTACTTACAGTACTTGATCAACTTCAAAGATGTCAGAAATCATTAAATGAATTTTTAGAGGCATGTTTATTTTTTTTAAACAGTCTATATATACTAAACTGTAAAGTCCTTAATATCTTAATTATTTGAAAAGAATGAAAGCTATTTTTCTTTTCCTTTTTACTAGGAAAAACGCTCAGCATTCCCCAGATTTTATTTTATTGGTGATGATGACTTATTAGAAATACTGGGCCAGTCTACTAACCCATCAGTGATTCAGTCTCACCTTAAGAAGCTGTTTGCTGGTAGGTTTCAACATTTATTCTATAAATATTCAGGTATTTGCCAGACTGAGCTATACCCCAACCCTATCAAATGTACTCTTATATATTTACTTGTATGTGGCTTCTTTTGCTTAGTGTGATGTTTTTGCCATACTTACAGGTATATTTCATTCTTTTTTTTTTAATTGCTGAAAAGTATTCCAATGTCTGACTATATCAGAATTTATCCATTTATCTGTTGAAGAATTTATTCATTCATCTGTTGGATGTATGGGTTATATCCCATTTTTGGCTAACATGAATAAAGTTTTTTTGAACATTCATATAAATATTTTTGTGGACATATGTCTTTCTTTTTATTGGGTACATACTTAGATATAGTGAGTATATGTTTAACTTTATAAGACACTGGCAAGTCTTTTTCCAATGGCATTACATTTCATTTTCCTACTAAGAATGTTTGAGAGTTATGATGGTTCTTATTGATTTACATGCATTAATTGATTAATTTGCTTAAAATTCTTTCTGAAAAATGGTGAGAATTAATAAACAAATATACAGATATATAAATAAATAGTAAGACTATTAGCAAATTATGTCATGTATAGTTAGATGTTAATAAGAAATACTTTATGTTGTATTTTTGTAAGTTTTTGGTACCTGGAATTGAACCTAGGAGTGCTTAATCCTGAGCCACATCCCTAGCCAGTTTTTATATTTTATTTTGAGATAGGGTCTTGCTAAGTTGCTTAGGGCCTTGATAAGTGCTGAGGCTAGCTTTGAACTTGTGATCTTCCTGTGTTACTGGGATTATAGGCGTTTGCCACTGTGCTAGCTCTCAAGAAATATTTTAGATTAGTGATAAGACTATCCATCCAGAGAGAGTGATTTTTTTCTTCAATAAGACATTTAAATACTGATACTACTATATACATTATAATTCTATTAGTTATATTATTATAATTATATGAGATATATATGCAATATGCATTATATGAGATATATGTGTATATTTCATATTATATATACACATGTATATCATGTCTAATAATCATTCTTTAATCCTTTCACATTTAAATTGTTGCTTTTATATAACAGGTATTAACAGTGTATGCTTTGATGAGGAATCAAAATATATAACTGCAATGAAATCTTTAGAGGGAGAAATTGTGCCATTTAAAAATAAAGTTCTTCTATCAAATAATGTAGAGGTAAGCAATTCTTTTTTTAATATGAAAATAAAAATGATTAACCATATAAAATTGATTTTAAAAATAATTTTAGTCAATTTGTAGGATACGAGTTGGTTCATTTGTGTCTGTAGAACATTAATCTCATATCTTCAAAAATGTTAGGTTTAGAATGTTTGACATTTAAATATATGGGTCTTTAGTCTTTAAAAGGCAACATGTAATCATGAAAAGAACTTTGATATTGAAGTCAAAAAGACTTGAATATTTGTCTTAGCTCCATAATTTTTTAAATGTGTGACTTAAGAGCATTTTTCTTATCAGTAAAATGATAATCTTAATATCTGTTTGAAGATTTTCCATTGAATATTAAATGAAATAATTGGCTTTAAGTACACTGTATAGTGCTTGGAATGTCAATGAGTCCTAGTTCTCTTTATTCTTTAAAATATGAGCACTATACGGTCATTTAGATGAACAAGTAAACTTGAAACAAGTGCATTTATAGAATTATTGATTAACTAGTTCTCAAAGACTAGAAGTCAACTATCAAAGTCCTGTTTTAGGCATATAGGGGTTGTCTATCATGATGTAAATTCTGTAAGACCTAACAAAATGTCTATTCTTGGTGAGGTGTCAACATTTTATTAGACGTTGAGGATGTAAATCAGGTTTCTGAAAGCACTGAAAATTTTCTAAGTAGCTCCCATGTTTGGATAAGAACTTTCTGGTTCTTTCCTTTCTTAAGTTTTGTTGGCACAACAGAGAGAGGAAGAGCTTAAGCTTTAGTAACTGGGCTAGAACAGTCACACCAGTAAAGGAAGAGCTAAAACTCTGGAAGCCCTGTGATTAACAGAGCAGGTGTTTTCTGTTGCCTTATACTGAGGAACAGGTTCTCACTCTTTAGCTTCAGTGGCTTTTGAGATGGGCAAAGGTTCATGCTGTTTTTAATATTGGTGAATGTTTTTCAGACAATAAAAAAATCTAGAAGTTAGAGGTTAGTTAAGTAAATAATGATGAAAAGTTAAGATTGTTGTTATTGCCTTTATATTTCATCACAAATAATATACTTTTAAATAGTGACTCATAGTCATTGTTATTTTTACCAATTGTCATTATTATTTCAGTTACATTTTATTATTTTATCTATAATCAAGTGAATAGGTACATATATTATTTTGACTTTAAAACAAAATCAGTTTTGTTTAATGAGGCAGCCTAATCTCCTTTAAATATAGTTCATTCTGATGAAGCAATCTCTTCCTGTGGATGCAACTTTGGGAAGATAAGATCATCAGAATAGTGTGAGCCAGGAAACTTAGCTAGTCATTTTGACTATGATTGCTTGGCTCAGGTATCTAGCTTGATTTGTCATAATGATGAAATGAATGGGCTACTTTAAAATGTTCATACTATATTAGTTTTTATAGATATATTAATCATGATAGTCATGGCTAATCAGAAATAAGAATTTTCATACTCACCATCATCTCAAAAGGTCGAAAAATTTTCTTCAAATTACTTAAACCATTTATTAATAAAATACAGAATGTTACACATTTTGGTGGTGTAAAGAATCAAAAAGAAATGAGAATTTCCCCCTTTAAAATAAAAGAATAAGTATAGTCAGTAGACTGAATATTTGTTTTATGGCTTATATATTTTATTTTCAGGCTTGGTTGAGTGATTTAGCCTTGGAAATGAAGCAAACTTTGAAACAGTTGTTGAAGGAATGTGTTACTACTGGGCAAAGTTCACAAGGTGCAATTGATCCATCTCTGTTTCCTTCACAGGTAAGGGGGCTTATATCTGGAACATAGGTAGGCACCTATGTTTTATGGAAAGATCTCTTTAATGGTTAACATGGACAAATTCCTTAACTTCTATGTCTGTGTCTTCATCTGTAAAACATGAAGGATGAATGTTATAATAGTGAAGCTATCTTCTAACTCCCTTAGTTTTCTATAATTTGGATAAATTCAAACAGAAGTCACTCTGATATCTAGATAAGTCAGGCTAGTGGTAAATAGAATGGGGAGGGAGGGAATCAAGTATGTAATAACTTCCTGGTTCCAGATGATTATTCTATTATTGGTGGAGAGGCACAAGATTTATAATACTGCCACTTATACCCTTCTACCCCTCTCATGGGATCATCTAAGGGGTTGGAAGCTGGCAAGAACTTATCAGGGTGTTAATATAGCTTGAAATATAATCACAACACTGAACTGGAGTATTGGCATGGAATCTGAGAGCTAGATTACATGATGGGTTATGGAAATTGCTTCAGATCAGTGTTAATAGGCACCTTATTTCTGAAACTCTTACAAAACTTGTTTCAAGCTTTACCAAATTGTAGCATTAGTAAGACTTGTGTTAAACATCTTGCCTTTTTCAGGATTTGAGCCAGACTAGTGCTATAGGTGTAGGTCATTAGGAACTTCAGTTATTAGACACTATGAAAGGTAGGTAAGCACTGAGATTTCTGTGAGTTCTCACCAGAAATCTATCCAATGACTCAGTTACTAGCTTCTCAGATTAATAGATTTAATAGTCATTGGAGCAGTTTTTTATGTTGGTTCTTTTAAAACTATGAGAAGTTCAATGGGAAACATGGAACATTTTAGATTCTGAATCATTTTTTCATGTCTTTTCTATCATTTTAAGACAAGTGCTTTAAAAATCTTAAGTACCTAGAAAATACTAAAAGTAATTGTCAATGAGCAATTAGTGCCATTGCTTTATTATTTCCGGTAATGCTTTCTCATACTCTGTCAATAGGGCAGGATTTAAATTGACTTAGCATAAAATATAATATATTTTGACTTAGACAAAATATAAAAAATCCTGAAAAACAAGCATTGGGTTAGGGAAATGGTAATTATTTTAGGAGATATATTGGAAGCAGGCTAAAAAATGTTGCAGACTTTTAAGCCTGAAAATTACCTCTAGGCACTTGAGCAGTGAGGTAGAAATGAATTTTTAAAAATGTAAATCATTCATTATCTGTCACAATAAAGAGCTCTATTTTTTCCCCCAAATTTTGTTTATTGGTGCCTTATATTGTATACACTAGATATTCACACATGCACACAATATTACAATATAATTTGGCTACAGTGACTACCCTGCACTTCCCCCCCTCTCTACTTTTCCTACTCCTTGTTCCCTTTCCTCTGTTCTACTGATCTTCCTTTGATTTTTCATGAGATGCCTCTCCTCACCCCACCTTTTTCCTTTGTAGCTTCCACATATGAGAGAAAACATACAACTCTTGACCTTCTGGGTTTGACTTTTTTTGCTTAACATAATGGTCTCATGTTCCATCCATTTTCTTGCAAATGACATAATTTCATTTTTCTTTATGGCTAAATAAAACTCCATTGTGTATATATACCACATTTTCTTTATCCATTCATAATAGGCTTGGCTGCATCACACAATGCTCTGTTAATATCTGAGGTGCCAATGTGACATTCAGGTAGAGCTATATGATATACAGTTGGTAATTTGAAAAATGGTGTCATTCCTAAATTATAAAATTTTTCTAAGTAAATTCAGCTTTTAAAAATATTTTTTTCTTTTTATTCAACAGATATTATGCTTGGCAGAGCAGATTAAATTCACTGAAGATATAGAAAATGCTATCAAAGACCACACTCTTCATCAAATTGAGACACAACTGGTGAATAAATTAGAGCATTATACCAACATTGATACAAGTTCTGAGGATCCAGGGAATACTGGTATGGGAAAAATGTTTCCTTTTCTGCCTGCTTTTGGGCTATCTGGATTTTTTTTAAAAACAGATTTTTAATTTTATCTTTACTCATTGTGTTTTTGATTGTGCATCTATTCATTCATCTATCCATTTTGGTTTCTATGCTATGAAGTATATGTTTATTTAATTTTTTATATTGTACTTAATATCAATAATGTACTACTTTAAATGGAATGTAGAAACTTTACCCTACATGGATTTATCTCCTATTTTATGTTGTAGTTGTCTTAATATTACATCTACATACACTGAAAACTCCACGAGATTGCCTTTGAATTTTAGCTTTTAACACTCAAGCATATTTTAAGATTTAGGAGGAAAAGAGTAACTTACTTTATGTACCTAGATGTTCACCACTTCTGATGCCCTTCCTTCATTCCTGCTATTCAAGGTTTTCTTCAGCATCATTTTCCTTCTGTCTAAACAACTTCTCTTCCTTTAATGTTTCTTTTAGACTGGGTTTTCTGGGTGTGAATTCACATAGATTTCCTTCATCTGAGAATGTCTTTTTTTCACCTTTATTCATAAAGTTTTATTTCACTGGTTATTGTGGATGGATTGTTCTTTATTTTCAGCGTTTTAAACTGTTATTCTGCAGTGAGGTGCTGGTACAGGCCTCTAATCCTAAGGACTGGGGAGTCTGAGGCAGGAGGAGCACAAGTTCAAGGCCAGTCTCAGTAACTTAGCAAGACCTTCAGCAATTTAGTGAGACCTTGTCTCAAAATGAAAAATAAAATAAAATAAAGTAAAAAGGCTGGGAATATACCTCAGTGGTAAAATGCCCTTGGGTTCATTACCCAGCACCAAAAAAATGGAAAAAAGGAAAAAAATGTTCCATTTTCTTCTGACCTTCATGTTTTCTGATGGGGAATCCACAAATATATTTCAATTATTATTCTATAGATAAGGTGTTATTTTTTTTTCCTGGTATCATTCAAGACAATCTTTTTCTTTCTTTCTTTTTTTTTTTTTTTTTTGTGGTGCTGGAGATTGAACTGTGCTAGGCAAGCGCTTTTACCACTGAGCCATATCCCCAGTCTTACAGTCTTTTTCTTTAGTTTTCAGTTATTTGATTATGATATGTCTGGACATATTTGTTTTTCGTTTATCCTATCTGGGGTTCTCTGAACTTGAATCTGTAGGTTTATGTTTTTAACAAAAAATTTGAAAAGCCTTCAGCTATTATTACATCAAAAAATATATTTTTTTATCATATACTTTCTTTTATCTTTCTGAATTTATTATGGCATTAATATTAGACCTTATGGTATTGTTCCACAGGTCTTAGAGGCTTTATTCATTTTTACAAAAATGTGATTTTGTTCTTTCTGTTCGGTGTGGGTAATTTCTACTACTCTATCTTTAAGTTCACTGATCTTTTTTCCTTTATTTCCATCAGTGTTGAGACCATCCAATAATTTTTTAAATTCTCTTTGTATTTTGCAGTTCTAAAATTTCCATTTAATTTATATTATATTTTGTAATTTTACAATTTTTGTTGACATTTGTTTTTCATTTGTTTCAAGATGTTTACTTCTTTATTTTTGAATGTTTAGTTATTTACTTCTTAGAGCAATTTTATAATAGTGGTTTAAAAGTCTTTTACAGATTATTCCAATATCTGTGTCATCTCAGTACTGGTGCCTGTTAATTATCTTTTCTTACATAGATTCAGGTTTTCTTGATTTTTTGCATGTTGAATAATTTTGAATTATATCATGGACATTTTGATATATTTTTATGAGAGAACATAAGAGACTTTTTTTGTTTTTTTAGCAACTGACCCTATTGGGTTCAGGTGGCAAGTTCTGTGGGTTATATTTCAAATGTCAGTTTCCGTTTTTATATCTTTGTAATACTATTTGAATACGTACTACATGTGTGCAATATAGTGGCCAGTTCTTTAAGTCTTTGGTTTATTATTATAATGTGTTTTATTCATGAACAATTTGGAACTGATAAACAAGTTTATGGGATAATTTTTTCAATCTTTTCCATGATCTTCCTGGTATTTTCTGATTCTCTTCTGTTTCCCTTATGGTCCTTTGGCCAGAAAGTTGGGGTTTTATGGAGCTTATTGTTTTGCATACTTTTTTTTTTAATTCTTTTTTTTTAATATTTATTTTTTAGTTGGACACAATATCTTTATTTATTTATTTTTATGTGGTGCTGCGGATCGAACCCAGGGCCTCACACATGCTAGGTGAGCGCTCTACCACTGAGCCACAACCCCAGCCCATCTTGCATACTTTTTGTGACGGTGTTCATATACTGATTCAGTTGATGGGAGAACAGAAAGAAAAAGCAATTAGGATTTGCTTTACTATCTTGGGATCATAGTTCCTCTGATTTCTAAAACTTCTCTCAGAGTTTTAGATATTTCTGGGTTCCAGTTGTCAGGCTGTAGATACCAGGACACCTTTCCTGCTTCTCAAACCTGAGCTAGAGGCCTCCTTCTGGAGCTGTCTTTTATACCAGTCTGAATTTCTGACTACATTGGGTACAGGACTAGGAATAACAAAGGATTAAAAAAAAAAAGAGAGGCAAATTTGCCACTGGTTTGGTGGTATTTCTCATTTTGGTCTGCTTCCTCAGTTTGCCTGCTACTCTTCACCTTTTTGAGTGCTAAATAGGAGTTTAATGCATATTGTACAGGTTTCTTACCTATATTTAGATGAAAAACAAAGTAAAGTATGCTTGCTCCCTTTTGTAGGGAATCAGGACTTCTTATTGAATTTTTATGCGTAAGGCAAATTTATTATTTCTTGGTTTGCAAAAACGGTTTGATTCAAATGTCTTATAAAATTACCATTTAAATTCATTCAGAAATCATCTGTATACATAATCATAAAGTACGTAAGTCACAGGCTAAGATATTTTCCTATTATATTTATTTGTGTTCAGAATCGGGCATTCTGGAACTGAAACTTAAAGCCCTAATTCTTGATATTATTCATAATATTGATGTGGTGAAGCAATTAAACCAAGTACAAGTTCATACAACTGAAGACTGGGCTTGGAAGAAACAAGTTAGATTCTATATGAAAAGTGATCACACATGTTATGTTCAAATGGTGGATTCTGAACTTCAGTATACATATGAGTATCAGGTATGACTTCTGGCAGAAATGTTTTATTTTTCTAGTTAGAAATTAATTAAAGGAAGTTTGCTATTAGAAGAAAGTAAGTTTTTTTATTCAATAGTAACTTTTCAGGTTTTTTTTTTTTTTTGGTGTTGGGCATCAAACCCTGAACTTCACACATGCTTGGTAAGTGCTCTACCAATGAGCTGCATCTCCAGCCTGATAGTATTTTTGTATTATTTTCTTTCTTTTTCATCAGAATTTTAATAAGTTTTATGTAAAAACCAAATTATTCTATTTGTAATAAAACTGTAATATTGTCAGTGTTTTACTAAATTCTCTAAAATATACCTTTTATTGAGTGACATTTATATAGAATTTGAAATATATCATTAAGGAGCATTGGTAGCTGGGATTGTGGGGCTGGGATTGTGGTTCAGCAGTAGAACGCTCTCCTAGCACATGCAAGGCCCTGGGTTTGATCCTTAGCACCATATAAAAATAAGTAAATAAAATAAAGATATTATGTTCAACTACAACTAAATAAAAAGAGCATTCGATATAGTCAGCGTCAATAGAAGGTATTAGTTTGTGCCCCTTTATACAATGCCAAAATTAGTGCCATTGTAAACATGCCAGAATTTTTACTAAATGTTTTCAGTTTCTAAAGTAACACAATTTTTAAACTAAAAACCTAGTTCACATTTGTTTTAAAAAAATCCAGCTGTATTCCTTCTGCCTTTTTTCTATCGTAATGAATCACTCATCAGAATATATTCAACACATTTTTTAATAAGTATATGCCTCTTTCAAAAAGGAAATGTATGTTGAGACTCAAATGTATGTTGAACAGCTAGCATTATAATCTATTTCTCTACAGTTTAGTAGAAATTTTGGGAATTATTTGATATCTTCATATTATTAGTTTCATAAGCAATTAAAAAAAATTAATAATATACTTTGAAATCTTCCAAGTAGTAAATATTTATAAATGTTGACTAGAACACCAAAATTTCAACATTGTGTTTCTCTTGTATAGGGTAATGCTCCCAAGCTCGTTTATACTCCATTGACAGATAAGTGCTACCTAACACTCACACAAGCCATGAAGATGGGACTTGGAGGAAATCCTTATGGACCAGCTGGAACTGGAAAAACTGAATCAGTAAAGGCTTTAGGTGGACTTCTTGGAAGACAAGTTTTAGTTTTTAATTGTGATGAGGTAGAATAAATAATTATTAAACTATGTAATATGTTAAACATGTTTGGATTAGTTGTCATGTACTTACATATTTAATACTCTATTTTAAATTACATATAGACAGAATGTTTTAATTGAAAAGTAAAATAGAGAGAGGTTGCCCATAGTAGTGTCCCAAAACTTTACCATGGAAAGTTATTGTGAAGAAGTAATTTTTAACACAGAACAAATGTCACATTGTAGAAAATGAATTCTAGTAAGGAGAATACTGAATAGAAGAAAAATCTTAAATTCCTCTTTAGTTACTATGTCCAAAATATTTTTTCTTTTTTTAAATAATCTTTTATTTTTTGATATTTTTATTGAAGCATTTTAGTTGTATATATGGTGGGGTTTGTTGTTGCATGCACACAATATAACAATATCATTTGGCTAATATTCTCCAAAATATTTTATGTGAGATTTATATTTCAACTTAAATAACAAAATATTTTATTTGTTCAGTTTTGTGTATTTTTCAGATCATTTCCATGTGTATTGTTTTGTTTATTCCTTGATCCCACAGAGGAGCTACTTGACCCGTTTTTTAAAAGAACAAATAGGCATAGATATTTGCAATGATCACTTTATCAATATATGACATGAAATATTAAATTACTGTGAGAGATTTTAATTATTTTTAAATGAATATTATTTTTACTTTTTAAGGGCATAGATGTGAAATCAATGGGGCGGATATTTGTTGGTTTGGTGAAATGTGGGGCCTGGGGATGTTTTGATGAATTCAACAGACTGGAAGAATCTGTGCTATCAGCTGTATCTATGCAAATCCAGACAATTCAAGATGCTTTGAAGAATCATAGAACTGTATGTGAACTACTTGGGAAAGAGGTAAAAAACATGAAAGAATTAAAATTTTTTATAAGATTGTCTTTCCTCATACTTAGGCTTTATTCTATCTTTATTTTTAATCCCCTGATACCCTGAGTCTAATCTGTGACCAATGTGATAAGCCTTTTTATCTATGAAATGTCTCTGAGGTTTCTGACCCTTTTTTGGTTCCACTTTTACCATTCATCTTTAAACTTTCAATATGGAATAAGTCAGTTATAATAGTGTTTATATTATTACATTCTATATTATATACTATTATTGGTGTTAGCACTGTGCATAGTTCTTTAATGAATTATCTTATTTAATACTACAACCCTTTGAGGTAATACTAGTATTATTATTATTTTTCCACTCCATGGATGAAGACTTGACAGTAAAAGTAGTGGAACTGGGACTTAAATCTAGGTCTGTCTAATTTGGAGGCACACATTTCAAATCACTATTTCATATAAGTATTAAACTAATAAGCACATAGCTATCCTGCTCCTTATTACTTCCCTTAGGACTTATACATTCATATCATTAGAATGTAGAAAATGTAAACATCTTCTGTATATTATGTAATGCTGAACATACCAAAAGTTATAAGAAATGTGAAATTATGTTATTATCCATAATAACATTTTCATAATACAAATTTGTCTGTAAGACCTGTTTTATATTAATATTATTTATATGAATATTGACAAAGAAATATTACCTCTCTATTATCAAAATTTACTTTATTTCACATTTTATTATTATTTTTTCCCATTTTTTCTCTTTCAAAGAAAGAATTGTCTTTTCTTCCAAACAGTACTAATTTTTCCACCTGTGCTTTGGAATCTGTTTTCTAGGGACTTCTCTTACATTCTGTGCTAGAGTTTCATCCTTCCCACTTCTACTGATTCCTTATTGGCTTTTAAACATAATCACATCTTCCCCCCCTTCAATAATAATTAAAACATAAACATATTTTAGTTTACTTAATTTTCTCTTTCAACCCTTGCTTACTTGCTTGTTTGCTTACTTTCTAGATATATGTATGAGAGTAGAGTGTAGCTTGAAATATTATACATGCATGTATAATAAGGATTCTAATTAGGATCCTGTTCTTGTGGTTGTACATGATGTGGAGTTTCACTGGCTTGTACTCATATACGAACATAGGAAAGTTATGTCTGTTTCATTCTACTGTCTTTCCTATTCCCATTTCCCCTCCCTTCCCTGCATTCTCCTTTGTCTAATCTAATGAACTTCTATTCTTCCCTCCTTCCCGCTTATTGTGTGTTAGCATACACATGTCGGAGACAACATTAGACCTTTGGTTTTTAGGGACTGACATTTCACTTAGCATTCTAGTCTCCAGTTCCATCCATTTATCAGCAAAAGTCATAAAGTTATTTTCCATTGTGAGTATATACCATATTTTCTTTATCCATTCACCTGTTGAAGGGCACCTAGGTTGGTTCCATAGCTTAGCTATTGTGAATTGAGCTGCTATAAACATTGATGTGGCTGCAGTACTCTAGAATGTTAATTTTAAATCCTTCGGGTACATACTGAGGAGTGGGAAATCTGGGTCAAATGGTTTTCTGAGGACTCTCCATACTGCATTCCATAGTGGTTGTACCAATTCAAACTGTCACCAGCAATGTATGAGTGGACCATTTTTCTCACATCCTTGCCAACGTTACTGTTATTTGTATTCTTGATAATTGCCATTCTGACTGGAATGAGATGAAATCTCAGTGTAGTTTTAATTTGTGTTTCTCTACTTGCTAGAGATGTTGAACATTTTTTAATATATGTTTTGACTATTCATACTTCTTCTGTGAAGTGCCTATTCAGTTCCTTTCTGCCTCTTTTGTTTCCTTTATGGCCATATTTCTTAGTTTCACTACTGTAGGTGTTTCTACTTAATAATTGCCCCTTTGTTGTTTATACTTAATAGTTTAGCTTCTCTTCTTAATGCCACGTTGATGATGCTTCCACAAGGTGTTCTTATACTATTTGACTTTTTCCTGTCATGACATTTATTCCACTGTCACCTCCTTATTAGGGTATATCTATGCTTCAAGGGCATAAAATGTTATAGACTTTAGTTCTGAATTGTCTCGGTGCATTTATTAAACTGCCTAGCACAAAGAAGACATTAATTAAACATATGATGAATGAGTGAACAGACCTTCAAATTATGTACTCCTCTCTTAAACTTTTCAGTCTCAAAATACTTATTATGAAGATCCTCTGTAAAGCAGTATATTCCTATGCAGTTTATTATATGTTGAGTAAGGAGATGGATTAGCACATTGGAGGTTACTTTTTGCTAAGATGTAAGTCTATGTAGAGATTTGTCACATTAAAATTTCCTTTGGCAATATATATAATTTCAAAAGTTTGATTCTGCTATTCTGATATTTCAGGTAGAAATAAATTCTAATTCTGGGATTTTTATCACTATGAATCCTGCTGGAAAAGGTTATGGAGGAAGACAAAAACTGCCTGATAATCTTAAACAGCTTTTTAGGCCAGTGGCTATGTCTCGTCCAGACAATGATCTTATTGCAGAAGTTATTCTGTATTCAGAAGGCTTTAAAGATGCTAAAGTATTGGGCAGAAAATTGGTAGCTATTTTCAACTTATCTAGGTGAGTTTTCTTGTTTTAAATATGTTTATATTTTGCCTTCAAATGATTGGTTATAGTTACTAGTGATCATTTTCACATTTTCCAGTTTAACTTTAGTGATTTTTATATTGATAAATTTATGTATTTGAGGTGTTTATATGAAAGCTTTTATTTGAACAATAAAAACATCTGGTTCAACACTACTTATTTTTTTTTAAATACTACTAATTTGATTTTTTCTTCAAAATATTTATATTGTAGTGTTCCAACTAAAAGATTCTTAATGAATTAATTAATTTACTAGCTTACGACTGAAAAATTACTATTCTTTGGAGGAAAACTTTCCCAATTTTCCTTTTATCTTATTTCTAGTAGTGCCCACATCTTGACTTTGTGGGGAGTGGTCAGCCTAAAATTTTGGTTTAAATTATTTAAGAGATTGTGGGGAACAAAGTAGTATCAGACATGGAGAGCAAGATCCATTGATCAAAGACTTTAGGAAAAAAATAAGAGGTAACTGTCAGTATCTTAATTAAGATAATTAACTAGTTCAGTAAAGGTTTATTCTGATCCTTGAGCACCATTTATCTTTATTCAGTAGCTTACTTGAGTGATCATTTTTTGTGATTGACTCCTTACATAAATTAGTGGAACATTAGTATTTATTTCTATTTGTTAGTAGTTATGCTTTGGATTTCTTTGGCTGTGATGAAAAAATAATTTCTTATAGCTATTTGATGCTTCAGGATTTCCATGTCTTTACTTCAGGGAACTTTTGACACCTCAGCAACATTATGATTGGGGGTTGAGAGCTTTGAAGACTGTTCTTCGAGGAAGTGGAAATCTTCTTAGACAATTAAAGAAAAATGGCACTAAACAGGATGGTATGATCAATCGTTCCAATTATAATAATTTATTTTTTAAAATAAGGTTAATTTAGAATAGTTTTCCAATTATAATGATTTATTTTTAAAAATAAGGTTAATTTAGAATAGTTTAATATTTGCAGAAAAGTTATAGATTACTATAGATGATTTCTGTATACCTTACCCCCTGTTTCACCTCTTGTTATAATCTATATTACTTTGTTACATTTGCCACAAGTAATGAACCTATTTTATGATATTGTTTTTTAACTAAAGTTCTGATTTTTTTTTTCTAATTTTTAATCAGATGTCCTATAATAACTTTTGGGGGAGGATGCTTGGGGATTGAACCCAGGGTCTCATGAAAGGCATGCATTCTACCACTGAGCTATATCCCCAACCCCTTATATAATAACTTTTAAAGGTACATCGAATATTAAATACTTGTAATATGTAAAGGAATAGCTTAATTCACTTGGTCTCAAACTTAAATGTTTATTAGAATCACTGGTGGCTTGTTAAAATACAGACTGTTGGACCCCACTCCCAAAGTTCAAAGATGTGGAGTACAGCCTGAGAATTTGTCTAATCTTAACAAGAATGAAAAGTTTAAAACACATGGATGTCTTTTCTTTCAAATATAGTATACCCTGGTTAAATTGGGTTATGAAATTTGGGAAAGAATATGGTGATGGTGAAGTGCTGTATATTCATCACATTGTATCCGAGGGTACATGATCACCACGTGACATCACTGGTGAGGTTATCTTTCATCACTTGACTGAGGTAGTGTTTGCCAGGTTTCTCCATAGTGAAGTTATTATTTTCCTTGTTTTCTACTTTATGCTTTGTAAGCATATTTAAAAAACTAGCTCACCCTCAAAATGAAAATGCTCCACTCTATAGAGGAGCATCTATTTATATTATTCGAAATTCTTCTCTAAAGATTTGTCTCATTTTCCTCATTTACATTTTTGTTAAATTATTTATTTTAATTTGTATGGACTCATGTATGCTTATATTATTTTTGTTCATATAAAATAAATGATTTTCCACTCATAAAATAAATGATTTCATCATCCATGGATGTATGCCTTCATGGAAATATTGGACTTTCAGTTTCTTCAGATTGTTTAAAACTAAGACACTGTGAAAATAGCAGAGAGGACTACATAAAATTACTTATTTGGAATTTAAATGATCAAAATATATATCTTACCAAGGGAATTGAATTTAGCTCCTATTGGATTGACATATTCAAGGGTAGATATAGCTATCTTATGAAGTGGTTAAATAAATATTTTCCATTCATCTATCTCTGGTGAGTTTCTTAAAAAATATTTTTAGTATGAATGAACACAATATCTTTATTTTACTTATTCATTTTTTATGTGGTGCTGAGGATCAAACCCAGCGCTTCACACATGCCAGACAAGCACTCACTGCTGAGCCACAACCCCATCCCTCTCTGATGATTTTTAAGAAATATAGTAAATAACGATGTTGGAATGAGATGGACATCATTACCTAAGTACATGTATGAAGACACGCGTGGTGTGAATATACTTTGTATACAACCAGAAATATGAAAAATAGTGCTCTATATGTGTCTAATATGAATTGTAATGCATTCTGATGTCATATATAACAAATTAGAATAAAAAATAAAGATGGCATATGAATTCTGTTCTTGCCTTTGTTATGTATATATATGTTATCAATCGTATCCTTGAAAATAGAAATATGGCAATGATACTACTTTGCATTTGGTCTAAGAATGGGTTTGTGAGCCATTTTTTAAAATCAGAAATTAGAAATTTTTATTATGTTGAGTCATTTAATTTTCGAATTGTTTGCTATAATAGACGATATTATTTCCTTGGTGGTAAATATAAGAAGAAATCTGAGATTCACATTTAGTGATTTGCTCAAGAGCTATAGCTAGTCCTTAACAAATTTCTTTCTTTCTTCTTTTTTTTTTTTTTGGTGCTGGAGATTATATCCAGGGCCTTGTGCTGTTAGGCAAACACTCTACCACTGACCCCCAACCATCCCTATTTTAAGATTTTTTAAAAAAATATTTTTTTAGTTATACATGGACACGATATCTTTATTTTGTTTATTTATTTCTATGTGGTGCTGAGGATTGATCCCAGGGTCTCTCATGTGTGAGGCGAGTGCTCTACCACTGAGCCACAACCCCTATTTTAAAATTCTGAGACAAGTTTTGCCAAGTTACCAGGATGGTTGGTCTTGGACTTGTGATCTTCCTGCCTTGGTCTCCCATGTGAATCAGTTTTGAGCAAGGCTTATCAAAGATTGCTTTTCAATTTGTTATTTTTTTAGTTTTAGGAATAAACTCTGGGAGTCAGTATTGGTATATTTGGAGAGATACTTGAATCTAGAATTACTTTACCTGGATTTGAATCCCACCTGTAGTACTGCTATGCCTTCTCAGGCAAAACATTTAAACTTTTACGTACTTAATGTCTCATATGTATACCTGGAATAATAATAACTTTCATACCTACTTTATAGAGTTATTATAAAGATCATAAAAGTAAAATATACAAGTATAAGTGATAATGATTTTTATTATTAAAGTCTGGAGAATCTATGAAAAGAATTTCATAACTTTGTTTAGTGACACTTATTTTTCATTAGTCAAAAAATGGAAAGTTTAGTTAAGCTTGTCAGTTCACATGATGTAATATATATTTAATGACTAGTAATGTATATCAAGAATATAGAAAAAAATTTTTGTAGTCATTAAATTGATAGCATCTTATTTTAAAATAAAACTTTTTTTTTCTAGCTAATGAAAGTCATATTGTGGTACAAGCATTGAGGCTTAATACAATGTCAAAGTTTACGTTTGCTGATTGTATCCGGTTTGATGCACTGATTAAAGATGTCTTTCCTGGAATTGACTTTAAAGAAGTAGAATATGATGAACTAAGTGCTGCATTACAGCAAGTCTTTGAAGAGGCCAATTATGAAATCATACAGAATCAGGTAACTGTCAAGAATATTTTATAATATATTAATAGCTTTTCTTAGTTAGCCCCTTATTTACTATTCTTATCATACATCTTCCAACTTATCTTTCATCTTTCAACCTTAACATCACTTGCCTCAGGGAAACCTGATTTTGAAGTCCTGATAAGTCTTTTTACTATGTACTTTCATTATTTTTATTATATATACCTGTTTACTATTTAATTGTGTATTTGATTAATATTGATTATCCCCCATCAGATAGTAAGTAATCTTCATGGAATATAGAATCCATGTATATTTTTGCTTACCATTTTATTCCTGTTGCCCATCCTAGTATCTGGCATATAATCCATCATATGTGTTTTAGGTAATTAATTATATATGATTTAGTTTCACTTTGATAGTTTCCTAGGAGAGCTTCTTTTCAGTGGGTCTCTTTAGTACAAATGAACACTTTTCCCTCACATTTTGTTTTTGGAGAAAGGTAGGATATAAATGAATGAATGACTGAATGAATGAATGAGTGAATAAAATAATGAACATACTGTATTTGAATGAATGAATGAGTAAAGAAAATAATGGCCATATTGTTAAAAAAAAAAAAAACCTCAAAGCATCCTGTTTCTTTTAAACAAATATTGAATTTAAAAGTCACATTGTAAATATATTAAGATTTATTTAGATATTGTTTTATTTAAGATTTTGTCTTGTATTAAAGAGATCAAAAGCTTAATTTACATGTTTGGAATAGAACATCTATATAGAATGAAAGCAGAACTGAATATAATTGAATATTATAAATAACATATGAATACATTTCTTTTCTACTAGATCAAGAAAGCTTTAGAATTATATGAACAGTTACGTCAGAGAATGGGAGTCGTTATTGTTGGTCCAAGTGGTGCTGGCAAATCAACCCTTTGGCGAATGTTAAGGGCGGCACTTTGTAAAATTGGCAAAACAGTAAAACAATATACGATGAATCCCAAAGCTATGCCTAGACATCAATTATTAGGCCATATTGACATGGATACAAGAGAATGGTCTGACGGTGTTTTGACAAATAGTGCTCGACAAGTAGTTCGGGAACCACAAGGTTAGTCTCTACTGTGTAATTCATTGCTTTAGTTAGTAAGTTGTAGAAAATGATAGAGTCTGTCTGTAATGCTATCCTTATAATTTAGGCCTTACACATAGCCATGAACTACCTTATAAAATGTGCATTTGATATTTTACTAAAACATTTTGACTTATACTCTGTAACAACTTTTAATAAAATCAAAATTCAGAGTAACTTATATAAATTGTAAACTAATTTACTGAATAAATATAAAAATATTTGATTGATTGATTTCTTTTTTTTTTTTTTTTGGTATGGGGGATTGAACTCAGGGACACTCAACCACTAAGCCACATCCCTAGCCCTATTTTGTATTTTATTTAGAGACAGGGTCTCACTGAGTTGCTAAGTACCTTGCTGTTGCTGAGAGTGGCTTTGAACTTTCCATCCTCCTGACTCAGCCTCCCGAGCTGCTGGGATTACAAACCTGTGAAACCGTGCCCAGCAAAATATTTGATTTCTGAATTGATATTATAATACCTCATAATTTAATTGGTTTTATTAACACTATTAATTGTTAGTTTGAATACATTGCTTTGAATCATTTTGAAAATGTAACAGTAGACTTTTCTTATCTGAATTTTTTTTGGGGGTGGTACCAGGGATTTAACTCAGGGGTACTCAACCCCTGAGCCACATCCCCAGCCCTGTTTTATATTTTATTAGAGACAGGATCTTACTGAGTTGCTTAGCGCCTCATTTTTACTGAGGCTGGCTTTGAACTCACAATCTTCTTGCCTCAGCCTCTCCAACTGCTAGGATTACAGGTATGTGCCTCTGCACCTGGCTTCATCTGAAGTATTTTGAGTTGGCTTTATAAAAATATTTTTTGGTAGAATCAGAGGAGACTCCTTAGTTTTTAATCAGGTCATAATTGAATTAATAGTTATTTTTCTAAGGCAGTGATTGGAATGTTCAGAACTCTATGACTTTGGGAGGGATTTTTGATGTAGTCTTTTATCTTGCACACTTTTATTAGTGACATATTTCTCTTTGAATTGTTTTAAACTTGAACTACTCCCATTTTAGGAAGGATGGATTAAAAAAAGTTTGTTCCCAGAAAGCTGTATATATAATCTGCTTTTCCCCTTTGAGGTCATTTTTAAATGTACATTAAAAATTGTACTGACACTGAAAATTGGGTTTGGAATATTTTCTAAAAGAGACATTACATAGCAAGCATACATTTATTCTTATGATATAGTAAAAGACAAAAGTCAGAAGAATATTTTGTAGGTGTCTCATGGGAATAGGACTGTCTAAGTCTTGCATACCAATTTCTTTTAGGGAGATTACCAATCTGTATGGTTATAGACAAACAAAGCATTATCACAAGGTATATAGTTGAGTTTTTTGGCCAGCTAATCAAGGTTTATTCTTGAATTCTCTAGGACATTTGTAGTAAAAATTTACATGAAAATTTTTAGCTTGTTCAACTTTTTCTTCTTTATATTCAACTTCAAAAATAAAGAAATACTTAGGGACATCACTTTTAAACAACAAGAGGTAATAGGGTTTTTCTTATTTTTAACTATTATCACTGCCCTATTATGGTTTTCAATTAGATGTGAGCTCATGGATAATCTGTGATGGTGATATTGACCCTGAATGGATAGAATCTCTGAATTCTGTTCTGGATGACAACCGACTACTCACTATGCCTAGTGGAGAAAGGATTCAGTTTGGCCCGAATGTTAATTTTGTATTTGAAACTCATGATTTAAGTTGCGCCTCACCAGCCACAATATCTAGGATGGGAATGATATTTCTTAGGTAAGCCATAAAATATATTTCAAATAGTATTTTGGCTAAGTCAATCTAGTATGAATAGCATACAGACTTTTTGTTTTGGCCAATTTATGATTAACTTCTTTTGCAGGATTGTTGGGTTTTAACTTATTCAGAGAGTTCTTGTTTTATTGTAATTGAATTATTTTAGCCCTTGAGTTGTATCATAATTACTAAGTAATGTTTTTGTTTATTTAAGTGAAACAGCCAGTTTTTAGTTTGTTTTATTTTTTTCTACTTATTTAAATATTATGATTGAGTTCAGAGCATATACTAATCATGAACTAGGGGTTAATAATTTAAAAGCTCAGCAACAATGTTTTAATTTTAGAATCTTAGATTTATAGGATTTGAGGGCTTCTCCAAGTTTAATAGGTTCTATGGTTCAACCTTTTCATTTGCAAATTGAAAACCATTTTACTTGACATTTTGTCTTCATTGTATTTGGAAGAATATTCAAGAGTAAAAATGAATAATAAACTAATTTTAGATATCATGGACAGTGGTTACATGCCAGCACATGGACATTTGAACCAATTTTATTTCCCCAAATTAACAATAGTTTGGTATACATAAGGAAGTTTTATTTTACTTTTTGAGTTCATGTTTTAGAATTTTTAATTTATCAGTCTATATAAAGTTCTTGACTATTAATAGGGCCATTTGAAGCTATTTTGGGTAGTGTACCATATATGACAGTGTAATTAATTTGGTTCAGATTGTGTTTTAAAAGTATTTAATTTTCTTTCTTCTTTGACAGTATGATAGGAAACATTTCATTAAATTTGTCATGAACTTTAATTAATATTATAAGGTGTTGATTATTAAAAGTAATACAACTTAATTATACTCCATGTATGTATGATATATCAAAATAAATTCTACTCTAAAGTACAACTAAAAATAACAAGTTAAAAATAAAAACATATTCAAAAAGTAATATAATTTCAAATTTATAGTTTCATAGTATTTCTCCTCAATTTATTGTTTCTTCAATGTATTCTTATAATATTGTGAAAAAATTAGGATAAAAAGTAAGTTTCAGTTAAATTTTTAACTTGGATATCTATTATGTATATGTATAGTTAAACACTTCAGAAAAGACAGCAGGAAAGGAGTAAAACATTTATGAGAGTAAGTCATTTTAGAACATACCTTAAAGCCAAAGAGATAAATACAACAATTATAATACAAGATAGAATAGAGATGAAATAAACAGTAGGTAGAGTGGGTGGATATATAGCAGAAAAAAAAATCATACATTGCTAAAGAGGGTTGTAAAATTGTTTGTGAAGTAGGTATTATTTATGAGAGGCATAATGAATTTGTATGATTTCATGAAAATACAAATACATATTAACTTTTTTAGGTTTCTATGTATTTCAATTCTGTCATAGCTTTGGGTTTAATTCATTCTTTAGCAGATATTTGCTGAGTGCTTGCTATGTAATAGGCCAAATCGGTCTCTTTTTATTTCCCTACATATTTTATTGGTGTATGGTAGTTGTACATAATGGTGATTTTCGTTGTATATATTCATACTTGCATGCAATATAACAGTATAATTTGACGAGTATCATTTCCCAGTATTTCACCTTTACCTCCCCTCTTTATTCCCCCCCCGTCACTTTCCTCTATTCTATTGATCTCCTGCAATTTTCATGAAACCCCTTCCCACCACCTTTCTTTTCCTTTTTCTTCTCTAGCTTCCACTTATGAGAGAAAATTTGTGATCCTTGACCTTCTGAAAATGGGGAATTTTTAATAGTGCACTGGGGTGCTATTAATTATTATACATACATATACATATCAACGTCAAATCTTGTGTGCTAGAGGATAAAATACTTGTGTGGAATAATGTTTAATGTAGCAGAAATTTATGTGAAAATAAATTGACAGTTTCTTCCTAAGTAATTTACATGTTTGTGTTAATCTGTTTCAGTGATGAAGAGACAGATGTTGATTCTCTGATAAAATCTTGGTTGAGGAATCAGCCTGCTAAATACAGGAATAATCTTGAAAATTGGATTAGAGATTATTTTAAAAAGGCTTTACAATGGGTTTTAAAGCAGGTAAATTGAACATAATATTTCATAATTAATCATTGAAGTGACACATATAATGATGAAGAGTGATGCTTGCATTTTGCTGCCTTATGGCAAAGCTCTGCTGGAACCTGGGGAGAAGGGGAGAGAAGTATTTGTTGTCTTTGCCATCCCCCTGTATCTTTTGGCATAAATTTTGATTACATTAATTTTAAAAACACTTTAATTTTTCCATTTACAATATCTTGAATGCTTTACCTAAAAATCTTTAATATTGGGATGTCTTTTTATTTTTCATTAGCAAAACCATCTTGCTGTCACATTTTACTATGTCAATCAAATCTACATATATATCATGTTAAACACAATAATAAGCTAGTATTAAAGTAGGAAAATGACGGTGAGTTATTTACAATAATTTAGGGGACATTTATTTATCCAGCAGAAGTGATTTAACTAATATATGGTCAAACATGATACTAGAGAGATTTTGAAAGGTGAAGATTAATAGGGTAGTCCCTTTCCTTGATCAAAGTCTATGTAGTGGAGGAAAATGCTGTATAAACAGATAATCACAGTGCAACAGGATGGGAATATATTACTGTTTTTTTTAGAAGAGTTTTTTTTTTTTTGTTGTTGTTGATGAACCTTTATTTATTTATTTATTTATATGCAATGCTGAGAATTGATCCCAGTGCTTCAAACATGCTAGGCAAGCACTCTACCACTGAGTTACAACCTCAGCCCTTAGAAAAGTTTTAATAAAAGAGATCATATTTGATTTTTAATTGAAGCATGAGTAGAAGTTTAGCATGCAAAGATGATCCTCGAAGGTTTCCAGATATTCTACATGTAATACCTGGAGATCATCTACTTACCTGCTATTAATATTAGAATGTGTAATATAATACTAAATGGAATATATTTATGTATGTGTATCAATTTGACTGTAGATATGAAGACAGGATAAAATTATTTGGATTTTTTTTTGCTTTCATGTCATTACTTTTATGAAAAACAACCTATCTATACAAAACAGAGGAGATAATTAGCAGTGAATATTTTGAAAGTATCTGATTTTTAATCTGAATTTTATTTAGAAGTTAGTATCTTGTGATTAAACCAAATACATACAGAAATGGAGATCTTGCTTTAGTTTTTACAACCTTTTTCTTTTGTTGGTAAGTATGAAATAGGGATTTGATCCTTACAAAGCAATATGGATTTGTGAGGAAATGCTACAAGTGAAATAGGTTTCTTTGGGGGTCTCAAAGAAGATCCACTCTGACCAGTCCCCACTCTTCCTACGTGCTTATTATAGCAACATACAATATCTGCCTACTACCTTACAATTATCTATTTATATTTAACTCTAAGCACCTTTAGGACAAGAACCATACCTGTCATATTCCTTATCATATCCCTGGAAATTTGATATTAACAGGGTCGTGAGTGAATGATAGTGGTTGTGCTTACTTAATTAAGCTTTGATGCCTATTTGTGGCACTTTTTGGTAGATATGCCATTAATAAAACCTACAAACCTGATAAGACTCTAATGTAATACCCGGAGATCATCTACTTACCTGCTATTAATATTAGAATGTATAATATAATACTAAATGGAATATATTTATGTATGTATATCAATTTGACTGTAGATATGAAGACAGGGTAAAATTATTATTATTATTATTATTATTTTTAAATTTTTTATTGTTGGCTGTTAAAAACATCACATAGTTCTTGATATATCATATTTCACACTTTGATTCAAGTGGGTTATGAGCTCCCATACCCCATATACAGATTGCAGAATCACATCAGTTACACATCCATTGATTTACATATTGCCATACTAGTGTCTGTTGTGTTCTGCTGCCTTTCCTATCCTCTACTATCCCCCCCTCCCCTCCCCTCCCCTCTTCTCTCTCTGCCCCCTCTACTGACATTCATTTGTCCTCCTTGTATTATTTTTCCCTTTCCCCTCACTTCCTCTTGTATGTACTTTTGTATAACTCTGAGGGTCTCCTTCCATTTCCATGCAATTTCCCTTCTCTCTCCCTTTCCCTCCCACCTCTCATCCCTGTTTAATGTTAATCTTCTTCTCATGCTCTTCGACCCTACTCTGTTCTTAGTTACTCTCCTTATATCAAAGAAGACATTTGGCATTTGTTTTTTAGGGATTGGCTAGCTTCACTTAGCATAATCTGCTCTAATGCCATCCATTTCCCTGTAAATTCTATGATTTTGTCATTTTTTAATGCAGAGTAATACTCCATTGTGTATAAATGCCACATTTTTTTTTTATCCATTCGTCTATTGAAGGGCATCTAGGTTGGTTCCACAGTCTTGCTATTGTGAATTGTGCTGCTATGAACATCGATGTAGCAGTGTTCCTGTAGCATGCTCTTTTTAGGTCTTTAGGGAATAGACCAAGAAGGGGAATAGCTGGGTCAAATGGTGGCTCCATTCCCAGCTTTCC